CTATCGCACATCAGCAGCAGGTTCTAGAAATGAATTTAATTACTTTCTTGTTGCTTATACCTAGTTTCGAACGTCATATTTGACAACGAAACTCTTTCGTTTGCTTGAAAAGACCGAGTTCGTATATCATGTAAATCGATTAACTCCGATTTCACGCTCATAAATTTCAAAACTATAAGTTAATCGATGACATCGATGAATTTACACAGCTGCGATTACACAAATGACACGTCACGTCTGGTGATAGCTTGACATTGTTCAAATTACAAATGTTCCCAGCTAAATAGGCTCCGACATACTTGTATATCGAATCTCACCTTTGACTTTAGCGTATTAAATCGATTAGTTTGAAAAAAATCATTAACTAGCGGAACTTTAGATGCCAATAGACACAGTAAGGAATAAATGATTATATATATTTTTTAAAACGAAAGTAGCATTAAGCTAGAAATAATTGTTTTTGGACACTAGTAGCCAACTGAATTAATAAAAAAAATATTAATGCTTTATCAAGCTAAAAAACAGTTGTTTTAAAAAGAAAACTCCTCTGCACAATCTTTTCATACATGAAAATAAATAACTTCGATTTCACGTATGTTAATGCAGTATGTTTAAAAAAGGTACAACGAATTGACATTTCGCGAGCGTAATACAAGTTTTAATTGATAAAATCGAGGCCACGTGAGCTTTTTTTTCACGTCTGCACTGTCAACGTTTAAAAATATTAACGCACGTTAATAATGAAACCAAAATGACGGAAAATATAAAATAAAAATCCACGAGTAAGCGTTGACAGGTAGCTGATAGGTTACAGAAGCAGCCGACGTAACGAAATGCTTAATGGCAAAGGTAATTGAACTAGCGATTCGCAGAGTCAGAGACCTGCGCGAGCTTTTATTTGGGCATCGCGACAGTAACAGCGACTGCAGCAGTAGAAGCCGGTCGATAGAGCTTTGAATACGGTCCATCAGGCTTTGCCTGTGTCGCCAAGCAAATCTCGCCAAGCTATACTAAATTGTCGGCTGGCCTACAAAGCGTATACCTAATGCAGTCAGCCATCACCACATTCACTGGCAAGAGGCAGAGAGGTCAGATCAGCGCGTTCACCGTTCGGAAAGCCTTCATAAATAACGGAATTTATACTCATTTTCAAATTAAATAATTTTATTCTTAATTGCTTCGTGTTCGTTGTCTTTCAATTAACAACAAATGTTGATTTATGACTTCGATTTACGGCCAATTATAGTACAACTCAATGTCGCATACAAGACGTTTATAATACATTTGATCAGTGAAGTACGCAAACGGCAAGATTTGCAATGAAAATGATGGACAAATAGAATACGATTTGGCTAATTGTTCTCATAATTATGGTAGGCTACAACAGGAAGCTCGCGACTTAGCGAAGGCTATTTTCAGGCATCGCTGGATCGAGTGAACAGCTTTGCCCTGGCAAAGAAGCGAGTTTCAATTCCGAGATTCGCCATATAGCTACAGTAAAGAACTGGCGGTTGCCGGAAGCTTTTGCAGCTCCGATTCCTCCCCGACCACGACTCAGTCTTGAGATTTTTGGGGTCGCGCATGAACGTCGAATTGGCTGAGCAGCGTAAATACGCTCGGGAGAGAATGAGCATTGCTGCCCTGCGCGCTAGCTAACTCTTTTCAAAAACTTATCCATTCAGCCGATTCAATTGCTGCAATGTTAAAGGAATTAAAAATCTCAAATAACTGCACAGCTATTGAAATTTTCCCTACTGCTCAACGTTCATTCTCTATTCCTGCGATCGATACTTTTCATCTTGTATTCCACTTGTACTGCGAAGTCTCGGACTATCGATACGCTTTGACTGCGTTTTCAACATTTTTTCACTAAAATTAAGTTTCGCTTCTCATTACCATTACAATTCTGTGTTTTTTCACTCTCTACATCACTCAGCTATAATACTTTCTTTTGTTTATAGCTATCTGCGAGAAACTGAAATTGAATTTTCAATTGTACAACAATATAAGAGGTAAAAATAATCAGTTTGAAAAAGTCAATCTAGTTTGCGCTAGCTCTTAAATGAAAAGCTTGAAATAGTATGCAAGGCGGCCTTTCGCAAATTTCACGCAATAAAACCCGAGTATTTTCTCGAACTACTAAAAAATCGAAGCTTGCATTGTCGCGCTTTGGGAGGTAGATTTAGTACACACATCAAAGGATTGTATTTCATCTTAGCGTGTACTACGATATAAAACGTAGCACAGAGTAAAAAACCCTCGAACACTTATTCTTTTGGATTATATCTTTTGAAGGTGCTAGAGAGTTCCATCAATGTTTACACTTGGTGCCGTGGCTGTACGTGTAGCTGTACAAAGGTGAGCGAATGAAGAAACGCGTACGCACGTCAAATGAGCATCCATCGCGACAAATGAAAGTAAATTGAAATGGATTGAAAGGAATAGGACATTTCAATCCGAATGAATCTCGTTTCTTGATCCTATAATTGGAATTGAATGGGACGGCGATGTTGCGACTGTGGACTCGTGTTATATTGTGGCTCTCTTTTCATCGAAGCCTCTCTTTGTTATAGTGCTTGCTCGTACCCACGTGCGCACATTCGCCACATCAATTGAAGGCTCGTCTACTTTTATTTAAATTGAGTCATGACTGCCTCGATACAGTGCTATCTGTTTATTTTCATTCGCTGGAAGCGACCAATGTTTTCATAACGAACAAACCTCCAACAATTACTATTGTGCTTTGTTGCTTCATATAATTTTCGGTTCTCGTCTACTTTTCATTATGCCCCAGTATTATTAAAGAAAATTTTACCAAATAATTTCATAGCATTAGAATAAATTAGCGCTAGTATAGTCTTAATATCAATCAATTGCGCGTTGTTCTTTGTAAAATATATTTTTTAATTCAATCTTTAAAATTGTGAAACGTTTCTCATACATACGAGGACACCATTCGTTGAAATACAATGCGCATAAATCATTCGATAATCTTTATTTGTTATTTTTTTTAAATCAGTTATAAGCAATAATTTTTATGAAATATTTATTTTGAAATATTACTGTTTATATATGATTACATTTATTTATTATCATATTAATGAAAACAAGATTTCGTCAAACAATTTCAACGGAATTTATTCATGGCTACATATAATAAGCTCTTCAATCAATATTACAAATTTGAAAATTCATAACATCTATAGTTACAAAATTTCACAATCGTTTCGAAATTAATTCGAACGTCCGCATTGAACGGTTGTTATATACACGGTCAACTATAATTTTGTATTATTATATTCGCTGTATCATACATAATCTAGTTTCAAAAATATTTTAAAGAGCATTAATGATAACAATAATTTTGCAACAGCTGCTTGCATAGTACAGGTGACTACGTAGATAATTAAAATGAGTTTTTTTTTTACAAAAACTACGATTGTTCAAAACTATCCAGTACTATTTGTTCTATTTAAATATATTAGGCGTTGCAAGATTAATTAATAACACAAAACATCATGTCTTCAGAATGAAAACTTATATTATTTTCATTTTACAATTAATATTAATTTCTATGCATTTGATCTAAAACAAGAAAACGCTTGATAGTGTTTGATTTGTATGACTATTGCAAGATATAGATTCATATCCAACGACATGAGCTGAAACATAGAAGATACCTACAAGAATCATCCGAGGATCACTCGGAACGGCAGTACTTACTGGGCGTCGATACAAAGCTCGGAAATTCTTCAGACTTGAACGTAATGTGCCGGCATCTGGCGACTGATAAATAAAGGTAGGGTATAGATCTAACAAATATTAATTCAGAAATTCCATAATTTTTGGTATGGCATTGAAGGTTGAACAAGGCTCCTACAAGAAACTGCCGGAAACCCACTGATGCAAAACTAGTAAATTAAGGAATATATTTTAAAAAATATTAAAGTTGTCTAAGTACTTGTTTAAGTTTCTAGTAGTAATTAAAATAATTCTTTCGATAATTAATAACTAAATGCTTCTATTAGATTTAACAAAAAACAAAAACTTTTTTATTGTTATTATTTTTGTTACAAACATTTATTATCATTTTAATTACGTGTTGTTTTAATTTGTTTTAAGAAATGTACACTCTAAGAATACTTTTCAAATTTAAAGGCATCCGTAAGAAAAATTTACCTGGAAGAATTGTAAAATAGTGAGTATTTAGGCGTACTTTTTTGTGATTTCAAGACAAACCTACGTATTGCAAAATTGTCATTTCGTATAATTTAAAAACTGACTGTAAAAAAAGCTCATAACTTAAAAATTTAACAGATATATTAAATGCTTTGCAAGTTTTTTAAAATTTGGATGTATTTTAGAAAATAAAGAATTTTGATGAAAACATTTAAATCATAGTCGGTGCATTTATTGGATATACATTCTAACGGCAACATAATCAAAAGTCAGCCACTCGGAATAGAGCATTTAAGTAAAGCAATATCTTGTGCCAATTTGTAGAGCACGGTCGTAGATGGCAAAAGAAAAAAATGAAAATGAAAAAATGAAGTTAAAAAGAAGAAGCGTCGCGTGCACACATTATAATGTCGCACTTTCAGTGAAATCGCAGATATATCGGAGAGGAAGAGGCTCACCGCTCGGAAGGAGGAAGGAGAAAAGAGTTAGTAAACGCTTGCTGCCGCTAAGACTCTCTCTACGCGCTCTTTCTCCTCTCTTTTCTTTTCTTCTCTGTGCCTTGGTATAGCAGACCCAACCAGAATCCACCTGACTATCGCGCCGCTCGGACTGACAACGCTTACCGGCCGCTTCGATACGCGCGTAGTGCAAATTTCAACAGTGCTCTGTGGCTAACTTTTGGAAGTCTCGCTCAATAAAATGTTATTTCAAATTTTTAATTGGCGAACTTATAGAATTTGTTCGCGCAACGATATTTCAACGATAATTGCAAAATCTTTACGAAATGATTTTAGTGAATTAGAATTATAGCAATGTAGCAATGAATATTAGTTGAATTATATAGAATGAAGGCTCATTTAACAAATCACTCTTAACTAGCTTTAGTTCTTAATGTACGTATTTTATCGTCGCTGCAGGATTTCACGTAATCTGGACGATAACAGGTAACGTTAGAATTTTTTTTTTTTTTCATATTTAAATCTTTGCATGTAAAATACTAAAACTTTTTTTCTAATCTAATCTAATGTTTTTATTAGTTTGCTAGACAAAGTATTTTGCAAAAAAGTATTACAGGCAATTATTTAATAAGGCATTTGTCTTAGCATTATTTGTGAATATTTCAATGTAAATCAAACTACAATCTTTCTCACGCTGCTGGGAAAAAATCTCATTTTAATACTCGAAATAACTGTTTTCTACTTGGAACTTTAATTTATGGATTTATCTAATATTCTGAAAATATATTTTTTAACTTATTTCGTTATAATGAATTGCCATTGTTTGTAAAGTGTAAGTTTAATGTTTAACGTTATAATATCTATTTTGGTTAACGATTTCCATTTCTTCCAACAATTCTTTTGTTGATACAAATACAAAGAGAAAACGTTATTTTTGAAAATTGTTATATTCTATTGAGAATTGTTTTGAAGATTGCGACTCACGCTTCAATGAACATTTTCATATCTTCTCACGATAGCGGCATGTGTATCGATTTGCAATTCAAAGTTACACGGATTACATATTTAAAACTAATCAAAATATAGAAGTAATTTTTTTTGCATTATTATGCCTTAGACCTTGGGATAAAACAACGTAATGCGTACGTTGAGATGGTATTTAACTGAATAGCGTCGTAAATTCACCAAAACTGAGCTATAACTTTGTGAAAAGTAGCTGTTAATAAAAAACAGTTAAGTACTGTATCCTTAGCAAAATAAGACATGATATCTGAATTAAAAACCCCCCTAAGAACTCGATTACGGGGCAGCAGTTTTGTACTGGATTAAATTATATTCGCCGTTTATTGAGAAAACCTTAAAATCCTTGAAGCGAAATAATCATTAATTGTTTTTATATTTTGAGGAGAAAAAGAACGAATGAAGTGTTAAGCACGGATCATTAAAGGCTGAAGTGCAAGCAACGTATGCGATAATAGATAATTGGCTAGAAAGCAAAGAACGTCAAAAGAAAAAAACGACAGAATTCCAAGATGGATAGCCGCGGCGTTGTAATGTTCGCACCAGAATAGTTATGATTGAGATAGAGAAAGGCAGAAAGGAAAAGAATAAAGGCGCAAGTGAACAGAAGCGCGAGTAGTGAAATAATAGAGGCTCGAGCCAGCAGCGATGCCTTGGTGTTTTTTTTTTATTTTGTTCACGGGCCGCGCTCTGCCAGAGGAAAAAGAGGAATAGAGAGCGCGGGTTAGGGCATAAGACAGATGGATGGGCAGGCAGAAGTGAGCGCGAGGAAACGGAATTAATGGGCGCGCTGGGCGTCATGGCCGCGTGGCCAGCGCCGGCGCATAAATATTAATTAATACCCGCTGTAATTATGAGCGCGCCCATACACGCCTCGACGAGCTCTCGCACTTCCGAGGTTCAATATGCATCGACGGAGCAAGGGCTCTCTCTCTCTCTCTCTCTCTCTCTCTCTCTCTCTCTCTCTCTCCACCTGTAGCTGCTCGTACGCGTGTGTTTGTCCTTCTTTTCCTCCTCCGAGCGCCGGTATACACGCTGCTCGTTTATCTCGCGATCGCCTCATCTTTTTCCAAGCTCACGCCAGTGCGTGTGAGCTCATTGAAATGGCGCTATATTAGCATTTGATGATGAGGCGCGTACGGAATACTCCCTCTGTGCCTCTACTATCGGGCCACAATATTTTTACTTGCGTTCGTGTCACTGAATTATAGTCCGCAGAAGCCAACCCAGGTCTTATAATACACAAGAATTGACATTTGAAACCATTCATTAAGAACGCCTTGTCTATGAGTTAAAAATGCTAATAATATAATATAACGTCAAATATTAAACTACGTCGGTAACACCCGTAAGTGTGTGCTAGAAAAGAATAAACAGATTTAAGACACATCTGAAAGTAATCGAACCAATCCGGTATTTGGAGTTCGTTGGACGACAAACAACATAAGTCAAATGGAAATCAATCAAGATGCCACATAAAGCCGCTACGTTTTCGAATCTACGGACGTGCAAGTGGTATGTGTAGCCTCTTTATGAGTCGATTACAAATGGTTTATATTTATAGTAATCATAAGACGTGCGTATAGCTGGAAATATATGGCTTTTCACTTGGGTGTCTCGGATGACAACAAGCCTGATCAACTACTCGCGATTGAATTGTCTAACGCGTAGGCCGAGGAAATGGAAACTTTTTTCTTATTCTCCGACCATCCACGCCAGCTCTATAATATACCGAGCTTCTTTCGCTTACGGTAACACGTCCATCGTGAGAAGAGATTCAAGAAAGGAAAGAATTTGAGCGGACTTGGTGAATCTTTCAGAGCCTCAAGAATATACTATTTGCATAAACATTATGTACTTCGTTTCTGGTGGGCTTTTATTCGTTTTACGCTTTATCCTTATCATCAGTGCCTGCACTATCAAAACTTAGATCCTATATTATTCCTACGTTAAACTTTACAAAGTTAGGGCTTCATTCTTTATTTTAATCAATATGTATTTCATGGCTAATCATCAAATGGCTCGCTCGCTAAATATACCACACGTTCATTCCTCCTGAGTTTCTAATGAAAAATGTCAAGAGCGTAACTAATAGCTGATGTAATTATACGTTAGATTTTCCATCAAGTGCTTGTCTTAAAAGTATGCAAAGCATTAAAAAAAACAGTATGCATTTCATTTGTATCTGAATAAGGGATGCGCGGTCATTAAGATAACGTTGCAAAAAAGAAAGAAAGGAAAAAAAGAAACAAAGTAACCAAGCGCATTGTTTCCAAGTCAACAGCGTGCACGTGGCAACATCCTCAAGTGCAAGGGAGCTACCATTCGCGGAAAAGTCACATACACGTGAAGCGCAGAACGAGCTTAACGGACCAGCAAATTACGTGTTATTTCGTGCGCATCTTATTCCAAGTGACGGTCTCGAGCTGCACGAGCATAAAGCTCATATGCGTACCCGCAGCTTGCATCCAAATAAATCAAGCGCTATTTTCGGCAATTGATCCGTCGACAAGACGCTCAAGCGTACACGATATATTTATATATATATAGCATACAATATTTACTATGTGTGAGTTTAACATTTGTCCACTTTAAATATTTATAAAGAAATGTTTTTAAATATATTACAATCAATTCAAATACTTTACTCATCAGTTATTAGTTAGGAAGGTTGTAAGTATTGATAAATTGAAAACGTTTTATATTTATCATATGTATAATCACAAACACATTATAATACTATATTCTAATGATTTTTTTTCTTAAAAATCATACGCATAATTTATTTATTTAAAAACAGCAATATAATAGAGATCACTAAGCTTGAAATGCCAGCGAAGATGTTTGATGATGAGTTGCAAAAATCTTTGCCGCAGATATTTGCACTTTTGAGCGTTAGATTGTACCGTTCAAAACTATCTTTCAAATATTTTTCACTCAAACCCGCTGGCAGGCACGTTCTCAGTATAATATTTTTATTTTTAGCCACTGCAATCAAAATAAACAATGTAGTTTTTTCGTCAAATGGCATGTTTCGTTAATTTGTGTAATTTACCATCTTTCAATTCCTTGATTTCTACGCACTCAAAAGCAGCGTGAGCTGAAAAATATATATAACAATACAAACAATTTCAAACATTGACAGTAGTTGTATCATAAATGCTTCAATTTAAAACATAAATTGCTTCTACGTATATTAATTTCATGAGAGAACTTGTTTTCTATTTACATGAACTGTTATTGCGTAGATACATTCGTTTCACATTTTAATGTTTAGCTTCATGCAGTTTTAGAGAAAAACCGATTGGAATTGAAGCTGAAGATTATATTGAAATGAACGAAATATCCAAATTAATTCTTAATAAAATTGCTTTTAAGTCTAAATATGTTCAATTTCAATCAACTCGATCGCATAGATAAGTATTGAACTAAAGATGATTGTGTAAATTGACAATTATGATAAAAACTGTTATTTGTCCACAATATAATAAATGTAATTGATTTACCTTTTGGATCACTCGCATTTAATAGATTGTTTTTGAATTCCACCCATGGTTGCTTGAGATCGGTACAATTTATCTGGTAACTAGCACTTTTGAAATTACTTACGCAATTTTCATCAGATAAACTGTCACAATTATAACATTTCAAAGCAAATCCTGAAATTTTTGCCACATTATTTTTATTATACTACAATATAATCAAATTGGTGACCAATATCAAATCGGTATTTTCATTTTAAGGGGAGAGCCTCGTATAGACAGATCGAAAAATCTTCTTTTTTTTTTATTGTATGAAACCGAAAGTATATCATTTCGAGAATATGCTGTTAAAATTTCAAAGCGGAATTCCAAGCGGTTGCTTGGATATAGGTATTTTCGCTAAGGTACTTCGGCGCGCTGAGCAGGTTGTCAGCGCGCAAGGCACAGTGGGCGGGGCCGCTCGAAACGTGCTAGAATACAAAGGCACTTGACCCTGAAGACGACCTTTTTTATGGCCCAGGCATGGCCGAATAGCAAAAACGTCGATAATTCATCGTAAGTAGAGAAAAAATACAATTTTCGTCTATCGAGAACTAGAAGCGCATTTTTCTCGGAAACAGATGTTTTTTTTAATTTCGGAGTTGGCGCGTAAAATTATTTAACGACATTTCAATGTATATGAAAAAAATACCACTTGAAAAATAATTTAAGTAGCTAGTCTACATACCTATTGGATTTTTCAACAAAAAATTACTTAATCACTTTTTTCAATAATAATAAAAAGAGTTTTTCAAATTTTTTTTCAATTTTGTTGTACATTTTTTATACTTTATAATTAGGCAAGTGAACGAGATATTTATATGATAATAACAAAAAAATCATGTTGGTATGTTTTAGTAGGGTATAGCAAACACAAAATCACGCACCAATTGAGAAGACAAAAAAGTCTTCAATGTTATCAGTTTTTTACCACGCTATTAAGTGAAATTTTGGAAGAAAAAAAGTAATGTTATTCTCAAGTAGGTAACAAATATACGGTAAAAATTTCAAACAAAAATATTGCATAATTTTTTCAGAAAAAATTCCCAAAAGTTTCCTGATTTTTTTGCTATCTATACGAGGTTCCCCCCTTAACCCCTTAGCCTACACGATATCTACCCGAACTGGCGCAAAGTATATACTTTTCGTAACATATATATTTCAATGCAACGAAAGGAATTGTGAAATAATAAACAATGTTTAGGTACATAATCAATTGATCAGTTGACAAAAATAATTTATTATTTCAAAGTCTTTACCACGAGTCAGACTCGTTGTTTTCGCTTATGGCACAAATTCTTTACCACGAGTCAGACTCGTGGCTATAGGCTAAAGGGTTAAGTATGCATGAATTTAATGGTACAATATACGATACTTACTTGGTCATTGTATTGCAATAAAAGCAAATAAGGTTACGTAAGCCATTTAAATTTGCAAGAAATCTTAATCAAATTGATCGTTTATATTTTATCTTACCTTGATCGATATTCAACAAAATTACGACCAAAACCGTTAGCCCCACTAACAAACTTTTTTGGAAAAGCATGATGCTAGTCAAGATTTGTAATCCGAATGACGTGACCAATATGGACAAGCTGAATATTATATACAGATTGATACTAAAAGATAAGATAACTCGATATTTTTGATAAATACTCGTGTAAGAAGCAGTACAAAATCGGTGGTAGGAAAGATTGAAAATAAAACACGGAAATCTAGACATTTCCAACAAATTGTAATTTATTTAAAAAAATATAATACTCAGTGGTTCCACTTATTTGCTATCCATTACACGAATACATATTATTTTAATAAAGAGTAAGATAACAGTTCATATGCAATGACTTGAATATATGAACTTGAATATATTACTTTCGAAGTCTATTTAACGTCAACTAATGTCACAGTATTAGGATTACATCAGTCACTATTGATTCAAATGCAATTTTTTTCGACTGAAAGAAGCTATAAATTTATATTTCATGAGGATATAATTTTTATTGTATACTCTTATCATGAAACAAGCGTTATCCAGTGATACGATTATTATGATAAGACTGGAATTTTTCTTGAAGTTTCATCCATGACAGGTACAATACTAGTTTGTATTTTCCCCAAACTGACCTTTCTTGTTTCAATCATTTAATTTATAGCAAAGATAAGATAATAAAAATATTTTAATTTAATTATGCTTACCGATCCCGCCGTCTCAAAACGTTATTGTATAGATAGAGCAATAAATTTCGTTCGAAAGATTTAATATGTAATCTTTAGGCCTACAATGGCTCGATCGGTAGAGCGACGGACTCGCACCCGGTAGGCCTGGGTTCGATTCCCAGTCCCTGCTGATTGATACAAGCATCACTGAAAAAAGTTTTTTCATGTGCTTTGTTTTCAAACTCATTGCAAGCCTCCGTCGCTGATTAGTACTGATGGAGCATAAATAGAGCGACGTTAAATAAAAAAAAAAAAAATATGTAATCTTGCAATGATTATAACTGCATTGATTATTTGATCCACTAAACAGACGGCATATACGTAAATAAATGTCCCGTTTTTGCAAAATGACAAACCGTTCAGCGTGTTTAAATCATATGCGAAGCGGAACAGTCATCGGAAGATGGAAATGGCAGAAAAAAGAAAATGAAGAGACTTGTAGCTTTGCTATAGAATATCGCGAAGGATACGTACTTGGCCTAAGAAAAAGAGACAACAGGTCGAGCGGTGACGGTGCACCTCAAGTGGACAGTTAAGCTGGACGTTGCGCGCGTCGAGTCAAATATTTGTGCGCGTGAAGTAAAAGTGACAACGCTTGACTGAGAGTATCTATAATGCAAGCACGCACGGCATGTTCGACCACGAAGACAGAGCATTCACGGATGCGACTCCTCTGCGTTAAACGAGAAGCTTGATGATTTTATTTGCTTTTATGCGTTTGCTGTGTTTTATCTGTGGTTCGATGAAATCTCCGCTGTAGTTCAAGGTCCTTAGTAAACTTTTCCGTTGTTAATTTTCTTAAACTGTATGCTAAATGTATACTTAGATTTCTTTTATTTTCTTAACAAAACATTCGAATTATCCGATTCACTTCACTCGGTCATAAATGATTCAAAATTAATTTATGTATCTAGTTGAATTTCAAATGGATATCACAGATAATACTTGAAACTTTCCTCAATACGATTGGGATTCGCCGTTTGTAAATTTCCCATTTCCATGAATAATTGTAAAAAGCTGAACATTAAAAATATTTAGTTTTTGTATGAAATTCTATCAAAAGTTCCATCTTTCATAAATTCGAATTGAACAACCAACAGCGAGCACGAACGATTGTTGTGCTTACGTTTTGAAAGAGAAACAGGTACATATTGACTCGAGCGTTGTCATGACTTTTTCGCGGCACTCATTAAAATTAACTCCTCGACTGCACTGTTTCTCGTCAGTGAAGTAAAAACATGCAGAGAAGCATTGGAAGCCTGTCATTACCAACAGAATATGTATATTCTACACGAGCACTCCACGCTGACGTAGGAGACACTTTGAATGACGCCAGAAAGAAAGCAGCACTAGCAGTCACAGCAGTGCGACAGTAGACCTACCTTACTTGCACTTCTTTCCTTCTTGCAAATATATATATATATATATATATATATAAAACTCAAACACGAAAGACCAAAATCATTGAATTTTAAGCAAGTCATTAACTTTATTGGTAAATAAATCAAAACTTCATGCATCTGTTTATCTGGGCCAATTTCTTCCGGATAGTTCAAACGTGGACGTAAAATAAAAAAAGAAACTGTAATCTTGTGTTCGACGGGTAAACAACTCGTGTATTTGAAAAAAAGCATCGATAAGTGGCTCGAGCAGAGATAAAAAAAAAAAAGAGCGGCATCTCGCACGCAGCGCATGCGTTGTTCCACTTTGCAAGCCACGGAAAAAGATTCCGTCGACCGCCAACGCCGATGCTGCTGCTCAACGAGTACAGCACGTGAGGCCTGGTACTGCCCGATTCCCGGTTTTTGCCCGACAGAATGCCATTTTACGAGTCTGTTTATCCACCGCGACGCGTGTCGACGCAGGTGTCTTTTCAAATAGCGCTCGCCAACGAATTTTTTTCGTCAACTTCCTTCATTATTACAATAACAATAGTCTGTCTAAAACAAAAATTACAAGTTAAATCAATAATATTTCTCTGCATCGTAACGCAGTAAGGTGACTTGAAAGTGTAGAAAACGGCACTTTAAATAATAAGGATCGGATAATCTTGATGAATGGCGATCGTTTTAATAGCCTGGCAATAAAACTTCCGGCAACATTTTCATTGAACGATGGCGAGAATGAAATGCCCAGGAGAAATAAAATACAAATGAATTTGCCGTAGTCCTCGGGTCCCCTGGCTAAAAGCGTCTAATTGTTCCGAAACGATGCAGTAACACACTCCATATAGTTTACGGGTAGCAGTCAACAACCGGTTGCCAGAGGAATGCCTGCATTTTTTTATATTTAAACTGGGCCCTCTTAATTAACGCAATTCCAATTTAATTTGCCTCGCCACGTCCACGTCTTGGCAGACCAAATTCTTGTCTTCTGCTCGTGAAGTTCGCGCTGCATGCGATAATTTCCGGCCTCGCCGCTACCAATAGCATCAACGTTGACTTTGCTTTATTGATGTGAGATACGCACGTAAAACTATACAAGTTGTGAAACGTAGCAAACAATGACAAGTTTTACTTATTTCCAAATTGACTTGTTGCAGGCCTTGCATACGTATGCTCGATTTGTGATGTTCAAGATACGTTATTGTTACGCTTTCACATTGAAAAATGAAAATGATCTGAAATACGCCAATACTGTACTTAATTATAATTATATTTGATTCTATAAATAAATGTACATTGTTAGCCAAGTTTCCCTGCATGTTGCCTTTTACGCTCATCACGTGTCACACAGGTTAGGATAAATCCAATGATCGATACGAGAGTAAGGAATGCGTAGGCAGCAACGTCAGAATAAGATATTAGAATTTGGTCGAGACACGCCACGAAAATTGCAGAGTATAGTTGATTGGCTAGATTCAAAATAGTGACAGAAATGGTCACGGGCTCTGGATAAGTGAGTTCTGCACACGTTTCGTAGGCTGTTGTGAAATAACCGTGAGTGAAAAATCTATAATATAAACGTAAATGATATGCGTATTCTCTTGATAGTAATTCATACTAATAGAAATCAGACAAATCGAAATATTACCCGTATAGTCCAATGGCAACGTAAACTGTCCATTGTACTTCGAAGTACATTGCAATTCCAAATAATATCGTTGTCAGTATATTAGCAGCATATAGAATAACTAAGATGAGCCTAGAAGACACAAAATAATGTTTATAGCGTAAAGTTTAATAAGAAGGGAATGCTTGTGCATAAATATTCACTTGAAAATTTTGTATCTATCAACGAGCCTACAGAAAATAACTGCACCGCAATAACCACTCAGAATAATCAGTAAGCCCATTCTTCCGGTATCTTTTTCCCCATGCTAAAACAAAAAGAACTTATCAACAATGTCACTTAAAATATGCCCTTGAAATGTAAATGAGCGTCATACTTCAAAATGACGCATATACAACGTATTCAATGACACGTTTACACAAATCATTGCTCCTCCAACCAGTCCATGCGCATTCCATAAAAAAATGTAATTTCGATTTTTCAGTAGACGACGAATTTTCTTGAAAAATTCCAAATCTTCGCCAAGGCATAATTTTTGTAGAGCTCGCGCTTTACTTGGCGGCAATTTCGGTCCCTCTGAAAAAACTTAAGAAGCAGTTTATGCTTAGATTGCGCGATGGAAGAAGATGCGCGAAAATTGACTTACAGAAAAGCATGAGGAAAAGAACACATGTACAATAGAAGGCAATAGGTAATATATAATGATTCAGATTTTTGCCAATGTCGCCTGGTTCGCCGTGATTTCTAACAATAATTGGGCTAACAATAGAAGAGACGGCAACGCCGATTACAGTTCCAGAACCCGCTAGAGCCATAGCGGTGGCCACTTCGTTTGGGCCAAACCAAACGGCAGCCAATGTGGCTGGTAACGACGAGCAAACCACTTGCCATGCTCCTACAAAGCATTGTCCGATCAATATCAGGCTAAATTGATCTGGAGCTATTGCAAAATACTTGATCCAAGTGCCCAAACAGACGGACGCCGACGCAATAACACAGACAAATCTTAGGCCTCGCTTGTGGATCAGCCAAGTGACGGGATATAAAAAAACTACGAATGATGCGCTGTAGATCATCGCAGTGGCTTTCACAGCCATAGATGAGACGTTAAAATATCTAAAACGAATATCACCGCTTACTCTGACTGTCAAGCATTAATCCACTACAACAATTTAGTCAATTACTGATGTGAAATTACTTGACAATCACATTTAGGATCATAGTATATTGCAGCCATTGAAGTTTGTTTCCGAACACAAACATAATGAACAGTATGAGAACCAGCCATCTTCTTTTGTAAACCCTGATCGTTACTGCTTTTTCGAATTCATTTAAATCGACACCAGCTTCTGGAGAGATTGCCTCCGACCTCGATAGTGACTTTCTTAGTGATTCTTTCCTATCCTTATTCATCATTCCGCACTAAGTATTATCTTATCACTCGTGGCGAACTTTAATTTTCCTTATTACAAATTACTTTTTATTTTTTTCAACGAATTTTGGAGTCTTTGCATCAGATCTAAAAATCAACTATTAAACTCTCGCCTCTGACCAACAAGTGTTAGATATGCGTTATATTTGCGAGCAATATTAAGCTTATTTTAGTCGCATGAAAATAATGACCATTACGCTAAAGTGGTACTGATAAAATTGTAGGTCACATGGTCGCCGAGACACATATACTTATGACAAACTGGTTTTCAACATGCTTGTAGAATGACCTTGTGAAATTATCGAATGTCATTTTTTCTTAATAATATTTCCTATTAACAAATTTAACAATTACGTTGCTTTTTCGTAAAACACACAACTACGCCCGTATAAAATCACTCCTGACGTACCACATCAATTTCATTTTTTTCTAGTGTACCGTATATTTAGTTCGTACGGCCGTCAACTTGCCGAATCGCCCTTTATACTCGATGCAGTTAATTCTCAATGCATTTGTGCAAACACATAACAGTTGCTTTCCCAATGTTTCCAATTAATATTAGCAATGAAATAAATGAAGATTCAATATGCGATTGAGCGAGAATACAAGCACTCTGACTTTCACGACTCGTCATATTTCTGTCTATTTGGCAAATAATTCGGAAAAGGCAAGGCGCTATCCACTCATCCACTTTTGGGTCTTGGCCATGGTAAAATATAGAAGCATCACCCGCACCCGCTGAAGCTGCAAGGTCGTAGCGGTGGAAGCGGCGAGGAGACGGGGGAGGGGCGGGAGGGAGCGTTGAAGCCTAGGGCACCAAGGCAGCTCGCGTGTGCAGCGGCGCTTTATGATAGTAATATACCGTTGGCAGTGATGCGCGCGTGACGCGCGACGAGAACAGGTGGACTGCGGCGGAGAGTACGAGTTGCCGGTCCAGCTGTGTGTCGCTCTGTCCGCCGTTCGTACGCCGGGCAATTTTCTTTTCTTCCGCGCTCCATTTGCAACGTTGCGTACGTACACGTTAAGGGCGCTCCTAGCGCGTGAAATTTCCTAAGCAGATGTCGATGAGATTAGCGGCAGGCGCACGCTGTGGTCAGCTTGCAAGCATGGCTTACATTTTCGCGTTTGTTTTTGCTCCGAAGCGCTTTTTCCCGAGCCTTCTGCCATTCGCTTTGTCACCATTCCATTTGCCACGCTAACTGTCTTTACAAACAGAGTCCCATTCTAAATTCTACTTCAATAAGTAGTGCTACTATCTTCTTTTATCTTTTACAGCTTCGACGTACACATGAATACCAAATCGAATCTTTGATCGCATTGTCATTTATGAATGCGTATAGATCGTGATTTCAACCAGCAACTAATTCAGAACAGAAAGAACAATTGAGCGATAAAGAAAGAATATAATTCACGTCGCCATAAACCAGGCTCGCATAACTTATATTTATTACATTTCTTAGTGATCAGATTACCGATTACTTATAACAAAAAAACATTATTTTTCAAATTTCATGCCTGACCGGATTATAATGTTTCTTTCAAAATTATCAAGTAATCATCATCATGATCGCGACTTTAAGCTTAATGTTACATTACTAATACCGCGTAAGTCAGCATTTCATCCAAACGTGAACAAATTTTTCCATGTAATATAATCCAGTAATAGATATTGCTTGTAGCAAGGATTCCTCATGACTACATTTTAATGATTGCAGTTATAAATGATGTAAGACTATAAAATTTTGTAGGCGACATGCGTCTAATTAGTCAGAAATAATGTGTAAAATACACTTCCAATTTTAACCCTTCAAGAAAATTATATCATCTGTGGTAATCAATTAATTGGAAGAGTCATAAAGCTTTAACGATCAAAAAAACCTGTACGTTGTCACGGTACAGCAATTTATTTCATAATAGCTGTAAGTCTTCGCATGAATGAATTTTGCGGCTTTGATATAATATGTAACATTACGTTAAAAATGGTTCAAAATAAAAAAAAAATTATTACACGCGTGAATTTTTTGCACAAATAACAGTACTACTTCCCGGTTACTACACACTAGCAAAAGCATGTTGAATACCATTTATAAAATGCGGCACGCGTACTGCACATAAAAACACGATTATGTGCGGCTTACAATTAACTTCGTAGAGTTTAATAATCGCAAATAATAATTGTAATCATGGTGAAAGTTCATATTATTAAATTTAAATGCTTAATTAGCCGAATTCCAATGATAATTGAAAAAAATTCGTAAGCAGAAGATGCCGAAATCAAAACATTACCACCACATCTTAGCAATCGTCCTTATATGTATATGTGTGTATATACACTTATTCTTTTAAATAAGTCCCAAATGATTCAATTAACAGTTATATTCGTATCTCGATTCAATAATAAAAATTGATACTTTATGTTTTGGGGAGTATTTATAATATAATTTTTAGATAACAATTACGATTTGACAGAATAAAATATAGCTCACGATACACTTTACAAACCAGATGATTTGAAAATTGTACAGTAGATGAAATTTTCAAATGATATGAACACCCAAAAACAAAAAAAAGTATATTGGCACAGCTTGCAAAGTATTCCCGCGTAATCAAGTATGGATCGCGGTGTCGTTTTATTCAACTGTTATTCGAATTTCGCTGTCGCTATATTTTATCATCGCGCAGAAATTATTAGATTACATCATGAGATAAAAGAGAAGTTAAGAACATGGTGTTTTCGTGCATGGCCTTCATAATTAAGTAGATCTGCATCATTAAACAGAAATAAAATAAATCTCTGCGAGAGCAGTTGTGCAAGGCTTGAGTATGCTTATAGCCCGGCAACACATGCGCAAAACGCGGTAGCGCGCAGGTTTCATAAGTCAGCACTTACTTTCCGGTATTGAAGGCATAGCGACACTCATGATGGGATATTAATTTCTCATTTCAGAATGCCGAGAAGATGCCTCTTTTATTTCTGATTTTCTCGTTAAGCTGCCATCATGTCCTGCAACTGGCGCTCGCCGACGAGATTACCTTGACGAGACACGCCAATGCAGATGTTTTCACCATTCCAGGTAAAGGCTGCTTTTTCGAGAAAACAAAATTCATTAAGTCAAACCATTCCCGATTAAGAGAAAAAGCGCAAACGCTCGTTTTTATCGATGAAAAAAAACAGGTAAAAGCGAGTTTTAAAGGTTCCGCTTAGCGCGTGCGCCTCCGAGTTTTTATTTTCAAAGAAATATTAAAAAAGACTTCCAATGAATATTTTGTATATTTCTTCATTTGCGCACGCGTTAACGGCTATTTTTATATTATTGCTTCATTATATCTTGTTGTAAATTTTATGTCATCACGGAAGGCAAAATAAAGTTGTGTACACCCGTTGAATGAACTTCGCATATAAATTAAATTGCTGTATACTGATCCTTCTACACGTTATACTTGTGACACTATTTTTCAATTGCTTTAATTGATCCTATTTGTTTGTTAATACGCAATATCAAACTATTAAATCACTACTCATCTAATAAGATTGAATTCGCTGAAAACAACTGAAGTACAATTTCCATGAATAATATTAATAAATTTATATTGCAAGTTCAGTTTACATTTAACTTCTCGTCTCCCTATTATGTATTGCATTTAATTACAACAATACTACTTTTTTATAACGGCTACAAGATATCAGCATACATGTTACATAATGATTCTTAAAAAAATACTATTTTGCAAACAACCAATAAGTATAAAAGATTTTCGACTGCTGCTTAGTTCAGCAGCAAATAACTCAACAATAAATTAAATTTAAATAAAAAAAATACAATTTATCTTTAAGTTGCTTTTTTAACAATAACAATCATAAATATTATTTATCTTGCAAATTTGTACTTTCAAAGGATCCTGCAACCAGGCTTGTATGGTGCTGAGTAGTGATACTGCAAGCCCTTATGGGTCCATATCAATTAGTGGTTATCCAAATGATTCGTGCATGTGTCAGTGCAATTATGAACTGCCAATTTTCCGTGAAGATCTTGGAATATGTGTAGATAACATACAAGGTATGTGCCATGTTATATGATGTATAAGTCATATACATAAGAAAACTGTCAATAACATACTAAAGATTATATTACTGTTATCTGATTTTTTTATAAAAGATTAATTTTATTCAAATCTATATTTTATCACATTCTATGTAAATCAATTATGAGTTATGCAATAGTTGGAAAAGTCATTAATGAATTTAACGTGCTGACTACTATTGGCGTATTAACAGATTTATTTCTTTACATTATCAAATAATATTTACATAATATCTATAAATTATATTTAAGAGCAACCTGGAAATGGATCAACTCGGTTTGTTCTAAGCATGAATTGTATTCTACGACTCATATCCTCATCGTAGATAGCTTTACATCTTTCATAGTTAACCCTTCGTCTTACTTGAGTTGGTTTTTCATAGTATCTAGTGCGACGAAACTGATCTAGAATTTCCTCTTTACCAAGTATCTTGTTTAATACACGACAGGCATGCTCAACTTCATTATTCTTGACAAAAACAGTTCTTGCCAAAAAATAAGGATGTTTAAATCCCATCTAAAAAATATATATATAATAATTAAGAATATTCAAAATAGATAGCCATTGCATTTAAATATGTCATAGTTAATCAAATATCTAAAACTTTTATTCCATATTACTTAATGACTCAGTAACAACGACAAATAATATTATTTGTAAAGGTTACGCTTACTAAAACTATAATTTTCAGTTTATACTGCATTCAAAAAAATACGTAATGCATCTCCAATAATTTAATTTGTTAAGGTAGTCTTACCTTTTCACGTAAACGCAGTGAATCTTATTGTTTTTTATTAAACTTGACAGTTCAAATCTTTCAAAACAACAATCTATTGTAAAATATTTTATTTCTATAACCTATCTCTGTCTCGTTCTATTCAATCGAGGCAGTATCAGCGCCACCAATCGCTTAGGTGGTAAATTTTTAAGTTATCTCTGCCGGACTTGAATATATTTTATTTTAAAAATGAATCAAAGTGGACAATTGAAAATGTTAGGGTAATCCCATTTTTCATTATAACTTTATGAAGTTTAACCTTCGTTAAAAAGTTCTCATTCATAATAATGTTTGTTTCTTTATAGCTGCGATATATTATTGTTTTTATCAGAGTTAAATAATAAATAAATCATGACAATGACCGATATGAGTTAAATTATATTTAATTCATGAGATTTTTTTCAAAGGCAAATTTTCAAACGTTAATAAAAAAATATTTACTTGTCTACAGAAACGCATATTCACTAGAAATTAGAAAAATACTTTATCGAACATTTTACTTAATAATGATTCGTGTTCTTTACATGTAATATGTATTTTACAAATATACCAATAGCTTTTACATACAATAAATGCTTGTGGACCTATAATCAAATATTTTCAATTGACATTCTACTAAGACATGGCATAAATATTTGATATTCTGGTAATACAACTCCTAGAAATCATAGATAATAATATTTGTGATAAAAATCTTGAAAAAATGAGTGCGATATACCACTAACATTAGATAATCGTCTGTACTATGACGATTGAAGTGCTGCTCGACGGAGGCACTGCAGCAGCATGAAAATTTTCCACGCGAAAAGTAATTTGTGTGCCAGGGCAAACATCACGTACAAAGTTTCATAATAATGTTATAACGTTTAACGCGATGGCACGAAATAAATGCAGTGAGTGCAAATAAAGGCCAAAAGGTTTTGAACTGGCTCGCAGGTATAAGTCGAGAATGTAACGAGTTGGGGCGAGCGCGGGGTATTGAAGGTCGTAGTGCCAAGATAACACCTGCAAGGGATTGACCCACACATGGCTACCACATATATTCATATAGCGAACGTGCACGACTCTGAAACTCAATTAAAGTGCTAGTTGCGAATCGCTTCAGTGTGATATATAGCGGAAAATAACTTGCGAGAACACAAACTAACAGCATTCATTTTGCTAGTGATTTTGCTTTTGCAAAATAATTGGATTTTAATGAGATACACTTTGCTTTGGACTCCGTATACATTATAAATTCAAACCACTCATATATCTGTTATTTTAAATAAACTTTCAAAATGATTTTTTCTAACATTCAAGTTCCTTTCAAAACGTTAACGGACAATCTGTATAAGCCGCTATATCGACAGTCTAATTGCTCGCTTGTTTCGATACAAATTGAATTTTCTACTCGAAATATGGAAAAACGTTTGTCAATTTTACAGCGATTAATTAAATTATATCTTCGAGGAATGTATTTAATACTATCGATCAGCTGTGCGATAACTATAATGACAATATTTATATGTTTAGTACCTGAAAGCAATCTAGGATATTGCCAATAAGCAGACGTCAACTCGGCGGCGCGCTTTTATTCAGTATTTCAAAAATATAGCAAAAAAAATAGTATCGGTCTTTACCGTAAAAGTAAGAACTTACCAATGATCAGTTTCAAGAGGAAAATCGTGAAAATGTTGAAAAAAACAATCCAACGTGTAATTTATTGTGAAAAGAGGGACACACGTGCGGCGCGATAAAGATTACAATTTTTCACGCTACAATATAGCTACACCTATTAATAAGTCGTCTAAATTTTTAATGAATCGTAAACGTCGAGACCGGTTCCTCTTCGAAAATAGATCATCTAATTGAAATAAAAATCTCGACTGCGCTAAGTGCCAATATATGCACGCCAACACAAAAAAATCTTGTGATTGCACACATAAAAATTATTTATTATACATGAAAAATTACGTGCATCTCTGTGTTTTTTTTGTTTAAAATAAATTATTACGTGATGCATCGTGTAATCAAATTATACTTTAGCGGTTCATTTGAAAACTTGATTTTCGATGCAAACAGTCATGAGCTGAGCTTATTTGTAAGTTTCCTAACCATCCAGTTAAATCGATGACTACCATCACAGTCTGCGAAGGGCTATTCTTGTAAAATGAACCAAGGCACACCTTGAAAATCATACAATGTTCACTCGAGCATATTGCAGAAGAATGATCGCATCAGACGAGCACGCGGCGTGCTCTAGGTGCGTGATCGTCGCGGCATCACGTAGCTAAACGTATAGTTATGCTCGGCGCAGTAATCACAGCGGCGAGCTTTGCGGGGCCGCAAGAAAGTGAGAAGAGTCGGAAGTGAAGCAAAGAGCGCGCGCACGAACGACGGTATAGAAAAGCAAAGGGCGAGTAATCCGTGCAAAAACGCGCAAAGGCGAAGCAGCTCGCGCGCGATGTATCTCTGAAAGGACGCCTGCGGCGTATTAGCCTTCGCGCCTAATTAGCGGCTTCTGGTACCGGCCGCAACTGGCAATTGTCGATGCGCGCGCGCGCGCGCGCGTGGATGCGAATTAATGGTTGACGCCAATTTTGGAGTCTCAATTGGAGGACGCTCGGCTCCGCGTAACGGGAAAGCGCTTAACTGCGCGACTTAATTAGCGATAACATTCTCTGCGTTCGATAGCGAGAACGGATTCGTTTTTTACGCGCTCGCTCGTTAATTTTTTATTTGCGTCTGTTTTCGATACGAGGTGTACTTGTGATTGCCGATGCAGCAGGTGCAAGCGCAAGGTGTCGCGCAGGGTTAGACGTATTAATTTAACGAGCGCGCGCAAACATAAGATTAGATATGAAATCCACGCCATTAAAAGCCGGCGAATGAGCATGCAGCTCGAACGAGATACGAGCCGCGATGTATGTATGCGAACATGCATCGCGCGTTTACGCACTGCGCGTTTACGCGACCCAAGTATGTCGGATGAGAGATTGCACGAAATCCTCTGGAACGTTAGAAAGTATAGCCGCAGCCTCGCAGTCTGATCGTTAAACACTCGATCCCTGCTTACGTTTGAAGAAGTGGATGCGCGACAGTGATAGCGAAGCTAATCAGCTTGGTTTGCTGCCAACCGACGAGGCCCAGTGATGCACGCGCGGAGCTTGTGAAAAATTGGCCGGGCAGGCTCCGCGATATCGCGATTTATTTCCGCCGTTGAATTGCAGACGCTCGCAGTGCCGTAAATTGCGCGAGGCTCTGGCGACGCTTGCCAATGAAAATAAGCTCGCGCCTGGCGCGCGGAGAAAGCGCAAACGCCGTAAAGACGAGAGCCGTCCAGCCGTCGGGACGAGGGTTACGCGCAGCGCCGCAAAAATCGCACCTACGTCGCGCGCCAGTCGTCCGCGGCTGAAAGCTTTGCCCGGCGCGAGATGTAGAAGCGCGTCCGCGCGAGCCTAGCGGCATATTAATGGTCGTCTCGAGGACGACGGAGAACCGGATGCACTATGCGCCGGCGACACGGCTCTCTCGCGGAAAAGCCGGTCGCTCGTTAATCAAGCGCGCCGCGGCAGTTGTGCGTCCGCTGCGAGCGCGCAAAATAAATCCCGATTGATTCGAGCCGCGCTCGCGCACGCGTGCGCCTGTGTACTCGCGCGAGCGGCCGACGTCGTCTTTGCGATTTCATGAGGCACTCAGGCGCTCGCGTCGTTGGAAAAGGCTTTTTATGGGAAGCATGGCTCGCGCGATTCGTGTCCCTCGTTTTTCCCAAACAAAAACGACGTTCCGCTGATTGATACCTCGCGCTCGTCAAATAAATCACCACGCTCGTCAACTTATGGCTACACCGACCTAATCGTCCTCGCGGTTCTCGCGTCCTCGCGCCCGTCGTCGTTACTTCTTTATAATATTCCGCTACGTTTCAATCTGACCTTCGATTCGAACTGTCGGGCCTCATAGATAATTATCCGCCGAGAGGAAAATGACTCGAACTCGAGGAAGCTCCGATAGGAGTTTGCGTAAGTGTTTGCAATGCAGAAGACGAACATCAGTATAATGATTATACATACGATTATACGCGAGATGCTTAGGTTGGCGCGCGTTTATAGGAGTGTGCAAGTGAAAAGTGTCATCGTAAATGCCGAGTGAGCGCGTGCACGCGTTGGTTATTTAAGTCGAGCGAGATATTTAACCGCAACGTACTTACACCAGCTGTCCGCAGCGTTCCATCGGCATAATGACGTGAGTTTTTGTAGGCCAACAAGAGTCGCTGCGTTGAGGGACGCCTTAGATCTTGATGCGCTAACAGGCTACCTTCATTTTTCTTATAATTTCATGCGTCTGATTTAGAATCGTATCATAAAGCAACCTAGCTTGATTCGTTAACATTTTTGCGCATTCTCACTTGCAACCACTTTATTTTCAAGCGAGCAAACAGGAATCGTTTGAATTAATCTCGGAACAGTTAATTATCGACGATAAATTCTCTTCGATAAAAATAAGCCCTTAAATGTTTATCTTTGAAAAATAAATGGCCGGTCGTATCGCCAACAACGATAAAAAACAACGAAATTTTCGAGATAAAACTTTGACAAGTTCATCGGCTTCGATCGTGAATATAAACACGAAGGCGTTCAGCTCACTAGTTCAAAATAAATGTAGCTCGAGACAGGTGGCATTGTGTCCAAAATCGATAGCTCGATAGCTGATAGATAAATGATAATTGACTAGCCAGCCACAGGCTCGAGTACAGTTTTGCCGTTGCAAACGAATGACGTAATGAGTCGGATAATTGAAATGACGGGAATTCGCCACGGCAGCCGCGGGCAAGCTGCAGCAGCTCGAGTGACAGTCCGCTCGCAGAGAGTGTCGTTCGCGCTGCGGAGCAATAAACATCGGACGCAGTGCCGCGCCGAAGCCACTTATTTGAAGGAAATAATGATGGACGCTCCGTCTCCAAGTCGCTACGTATCCCAGGACTCCATTAAATGCTTCGCATCCAATGATTGGCAGCGGGTTGTTATTTCAATAACTCGAAGGCTATGCGCAATTATTTGCTCATCGTTAAACGCGATTACGCTGCGCGATTCGACGTCTTCGCGAAAGTAGCGGCAAAGCGGAGGAGAAAATCGGGCTCGGCCCGGATGAAACCGAGGCTTATTTCATCATTTCATTTTTGCACGATGCCGCGTCGTTATCATAACTTTCCCCTCGTTCTCTTTTTTCTTGCAGAGTGCGACGTTGCTGGCTTCGTCGGTAGTTCCGGCCTAGTTGAAAAGGTGCCATACGTTTTCCTTCCGCAATACGGCCAAATTATATATCCTCAAGCTGAAATTCAATTCGAAGGTGAGTATCAATTAGCGCACTACTTCGATCGTTTGTCCTCGCCGACTGGAGAAGCAGCGCAAGCTTTTTGCTTCACTGTACTGCTGCGCACACACAATACTGTTAGGTTCGCTTGTCTTCGCGGCGACCATGCGTCAACCTTGTTCTTTTTTTACGCGCTCCTATAAAAAAAAAAATACCGTAATTACGCATCGATAAATGCAATAACTGACTTTGCGCGCGCGCGCTTTTGAATAAATAGCGAGCGCTGCGATGCTCCAAGAAAAATATAAAAATAAATTACAGTTATCACGGTAGCGACTTGCTGAACGCGTTGTACATCAGCGCGCGGATTGGAGTGCGATTCCCAAGTGTTCGCATTTGCGAAAGACAACGAGCCGCTCGGGAAAACGCTCAGAGTCGGTCAATTTGCAGGAGTAAAATCACCGGTGTGCGTGATCACGGGGGTGCAGCAGTTGGGCAGAAGCGGCTGGTCGGATCTGCGCAACGTCTCGGACGTGGAGTTCCCGCTGAGTCTGTATCGCGACGAGGAGCGCAGCTTTCTCCAGGCAAGTGATCTGCGCGCAGGGCTAGAATGGTGGCGCGCCAGAGCGAACGCGAGCTTGTCTCGCTTTCTTTCGCGTGAGATCGCGCCTCGATTTAATTTTCTCGTCCGCGCGATCGGTCGCTCTCATTCATCCGCGCGCACACGCTCTACCTTTGCATACTCCATTCCCTCGATTCATTAAGATGCATGCTATTTAGCGCGCGCAACGAATATTGAGAGTAGACGCGGTTGTTTCACTTGTATATTATACGTTGCTGATCGGCTTGAACGCGCGCAACACGACGACAGGTGAAATCCGCGCAGCGGCCTATAACGCTAAGTTAATTAGGCCTTTTTACGAGAGCGCTAATTGTCCCTTTCTTTCGCGGGCTTTACTGCCACGTCACATATTAACAGCGTGTCGGCCGATGAGTTATTGTACGACTAACAACATATAACGCCTGCCTGCGATCGTAAGGCAAAGTACTATAGCTGTATTAGACAGCGATTTACAATGAACGACGGACGGACTACTTGTAAACAGTTTGCATCTCAATTACCGGGCGATAGTTCCACCGAGAAACCGTCAGCGATCGGACGAATTTGGCTCGATTGTAGAAAATATGTAGTACCTCGTACGGAGGATGAAACTGAAATAAACGTTTCACTTTTCTCGACAGTGGACCGGTGAAGCGAAACTGCGCGAGGCTGCAGAGGGCAAAATTGTAGTTGTGAAGCTTGCCTGCCGAGATTCTCATCCATCGACAGTGTACCGAGGAGTTTTCACCCCGTGCGTCGCCTTTCGCGTTGCAGGCTCGCCGTCCAGAGCCGGTGAGTTCGACTTTCGATCCCATATCGATGGCCGTGCAAAGCACGGCCATCACTACCAACTGCCTTGCGCGAGATAAGGAGTCTTGTTTGTTATCCACGATCACTGTGTATGCTCCTCTTCAGCTCGCGCTGTACAATATACAATTACGCGTACACTGGGATCACTGGCTCTAGCCAAGAGCCTATAACATTATCACCTGCAGTGTTCACAATCGGGCGAGTGAGATATTTTCTCGAAAACACATGCATTTATTATTCGCGGCATCTCATGGAAAGATCTTGATATACGTTCAATGCGAAAAAGAAATGTCGATGTATATTTCAGCTATCAAGGAAGTCCTATTCTCAACAAGTCCACCAAAGCCACAAGGTCTGTCGAGCAGCGAGTACACTGCTATCGGTATATCTTCGGTGTTACTAGCCCTTATTTACATTGCAAGTGTATCGCTATACCTACACAGCCGCAAGAGTCGCCGAAAAGACAATGAGGAGCACGCACCCGAAACGGGCAATTGCCTGGTCGACGTCGAGGCTCCAGCACACGTTAAGTGCAATCCGCTACTTTCGGTCTCGCGACACTTTGAGAGTGACACTAATAGCGCGATCAGCGAGGCTGATCTGGCCGACAAACTGCTACATAGCGAGAGCGAGGCCGAAATCGAAAACGTGAGCGTCAGCGTGTACCGTGAAATGTTCATTCGAGCACTCGGACAATTCTATAACTCTGTTATGGGCGAGCAGGTAACATCCGCGGTCGTCCATCCGTACGAAGAATGTTCCGAGCCACAAGAGCAGAGCAACAGTTCAGGCCCGATCATTGGCGAGCGATTACCCGAGGAAGATGTACGCGTCATCGAAACAACGGAACACGGAAATCAGCACCACATGCCAGTTTTTCCAGGCAGTCAGCGCAGAAAGCTCTACTTCAATCCTGCCTACTTTGAGAAACAACTGTTGGCGGTTAGTGTTCGTTAATATTTGTCGAAGCTTAAACGCACAGATTTTTATTTCAATGGGGAATGTAATATTTGGCTTTCAGGCACCACCTCCGGCAGCCGTGGAATTCCTTTTAAAAATTCGAGAAGTCATATCCATAGCTAAGCATAAAATGGCAGCCAAGCGTTTCGTTCCTACGCTCAATGGTAAATATCGCGAGCCAATGATCCCGTGTTGCTTCTCGTTGTGAAAATGAAATATGTCCGAGCTCTTTGTTCGTCTAATTCGTTCTTGGAAATATCGCAGAAATTCCAGAGGAATCATCCTCATCGGAACGCCAGAGCATCGCGGCAGCCAAGGCGCACAAAAAGCGAGCGAGCTCGGTGCAGAACGGCGTGAGCGGGCTGACAAAACTCGACAGAAAATCGTTGCGATGTCCGGGATGTTCGGGGTGCAGTAATGGTTCGTCGACTCCGAGTCTACCGACAGCACTCAACCTGGCGGAGAACTCCGCCGGGATCGCGCCCATTAGTGGCGAAAGTCGAGTGCGCGCCTGGCTTGAAGACGTCAAGCTACTCGATATGCGCTGGCGTAATCTCGAAGAAGAGCGAAATTTCACCAAAAGGTACTTCAATCGAATCAACAAAATGGTTAAGGCCAAGGAGACGAAAGATCTGGAGCTTGAGTGCACGAGAATGTCGACCAAATCGCTTCCCCCGATTTTCAATCAGGTATCATTCCATTGTTTTCTATTGGATATTCACAAACATTGACAGGTACTGATAGCTCGCTTAATCTTCTATTCTGCCTTAGATGCCCGAAATCGATTTTAACGGCTGTTTAAATGATACGTTTGTCAACGATGAGGCTCACGGCCGAGCCAAGTCGAAGAGATCGGTACGGTCGGTAACGCACGAGCCTGGCCACTTTGATCGACAAGCAGACGAGGTGACCGAATGGACCAACCGGAACTCCTGTTACCACGAAGAGAATGTCGTGAATGCAAACATTCGACGAGCGATCGAGAGTTCGTTTAGAAAGCAGCTGGACCAGTTGCACACTGCCAAGCTAAGCGAGAAACCAAGTTCTAAATCCATCGTCGCTGCACAGTCGAGCAGCGAGAAATCCGCAAGATGCTCCAGCTACGAAAATGTTCAGGTCAGGACAGCAGCCATCAACAATGCGAAACAGAATTCCGATCTGAGCATCAAAGAAGATATAAGCAAGCAGCAGCCGAAGAAAGTACGACAATTTATCGAAGAGCCGGCAGAGGCATCGGAAACTCGGGTACTGCTTGATATAATCAACGACGAATTGTCGTCTCGCAGTACCAACAAGGCAAAACGTATAATGGACGCAGTAATCCAGGAGTTAGTCGTAGCTAAGGAAAAAGAAAAAGAATCGCAGACGAGCAAAACTTCGGACTACGAAACCGATAGCTTGGAGAAGACCAAAATCAGTCGGAAATCTTGGAGCTCCGCTGACTCCACGGAAAAGTCCAGCCCTGCTCAGTCCACGGCTCTCCCTATGGACGAAGAGCTGACCATGAGAAATGCCATTATCGACGTTCAAATCAGCGAGACAACAAGTAATCTTATTAATAATGTAAGTATCCCTTTAAAGGACGTTTCCACGTCATGCAGTAGCAATAATATTTCTCTGCACATTACAGCACAATCTACCCGAAGTGGTGCCGTTACGATCGGAAAACTACGCCTTGGTAAGCGAAGTTTACGTGAACGATGGTTACGCGAGCCCCACTGGCAGTGACGACGAGTCAGGTCCGGAAATTCAATACGAACCAGAAAATCCGGGACACTTGACTATCAAGGTCATGGATTCGCCGACGAATTATGTGAGGCACGACGAATCCGATTACGAGCCTGATACTCTCGATCGGAAACCAATGAAGTTGAAGATCAACGATAACGTTATCTACGAAAAAGACGTCAACGAAGTTTTCGTGGATTCACTCGAGCGTTCGTCCCAAATATTGCTCAAAAGTAAACGAAGTTTTAACGAAGCAAATGGTGACAATTTATTCATAGATCGTGTTTAAACGGCTTGTCACTTTTATTGTTTAATAAAATTGTATTTCGTTCCTTCAGATATCGATGCCAACTCGAAACTCCCGCAAGAGTACAACAGTCTGCGTGAAATATTCGAAGCTCGACTTAAGCATCAACAGCAACGAGAGAACAAGCAGTCACAATTGAAGCTACAAGAGCGTGAATTGCCGCAACAGGAGAAAACCCGAGAGCATCCGCAAGAGAAATCATCAGCACAACGCCAAACTGAAAACAAGAAATCGTCCCGCGATGGTAAACGGGAAACAGAGAAAAATTGCCGTAATGATGCTTGTAGCTGTGCGAGTCCTCTGTTACCCCGTCAGGAGCGTCGACAGCGCAAAGCGGACAATCAACCGGATGTTGTACCTAAACCACCACCACCCCCGCCACCTCCAGAGCCACCGTCACTTGATCAGATCGGTAAGTCTGTTCCACGTGTCTCTTATTGTCTTTTCGGATAATTATCAAAAACCAATACTTGCAAATATAGTGCGCTGTGCTTCTGAAAATGTTTCCGAATCAACTTGAGCTTTCCAACTTCGCGTTTACTTAGCCATCCATCAGCCTGTGAATTTTCATTACTTTTATTAAACTTTTCCAATATAATTTCTAGTATTGATTTTTTTAAGCAGCATGGAACCTAAAAATTAAAGATTGATTATCAATGAAGTTGAACTCGAAAAGCCTTTAACGCTTAAACTTATCAAGCTTTCGTAGCTTACGATAGTACAAAAAACGATGAATTTATACATAGAAATAGCTTGAAATTTATAGAAAATAAACTTCTTCGTGAATAAGTAAAAATTTGACGTAAATTATTTTTATTTGCCAGCAAAAAACGTGCAGGACAGGAGTTTCGCCGAAGCAGGTGACCCTACGACCCGCAAAGACGCTCCTGTCATCCAAATGCAATGCGTTCCTGTCGTAGGGAAGCCACCGGCGGTAAGCCAAAAGCCCAATGTTGCCGGAGACTCGAATGCCGAAAATTCAGTCGAATTCGAAAGTCATAAAGCTGCGAAGAAAGATAAAGAATCCGAACGACTGGGTACATCGGCACTGACGAACGTCGACAATAAGAAAAAAAACGAAAAACGACAACAGGTACCGTTTGACAATAATCTTACAATAACTTTGATTTATTAATTGGATACGGGTTGAGGGAAAATAATAAAATTCAAACTTCTACAATAAAATTCAAAAACTTCTACACTTGCAGTATCGAAGTTCCTTAAAGTGGCGAGGTGCTACAAATGAAGAGAGTCGAAACAGTCGTTCGTCAAATCGACGCTCCAAATCCCAGAAAAGATCTGATCGATCGCGCTCGCGCTCAAGCGAGGCACCTAATTTCGAGGACAGCGCGTATGTGAGCAGTCCTGACAGCAGCAACTCCCGACGCAAGATGCTGCTGACAGCCGAAGATTTTCTTCAGCAGCAACTCCACAGCAGCTGCACTGAAAGCGACGAATCGACGAGTGGCAACGGTGCTAACAGCGAAAGTGGTGCCGAGAGCATCGAGACTGACAGCGTCTTCTTCGGCAATTTTCGTGCGCGCGCCGAACGGGAAAGACTCGCCCTCGAAGCCGGTTGCCATCATCGAGACAAAGCAGCTAAACAACAGCAGCAGAGCTCCAGCAATTATACAACTTTCAATGCCAACTCCATAGTCCATTAGCACCCACTTCTTTTACTCAAACATTCTTTTTATTTATTTCATTTAATATTATTTCATTGCATACAATTTATAAAACTCTGCAACAAGCAACTCGTGTGTCAACTTTTTTATTCAAAATTTTGCATCTATTATTAATTATATGTTATTATATTATTAATTATATGTTATTATAAAATCATGACCATTGCTGTTGCGTTCTGCGTTTTAAATAATTTTATAAGTTATTTATTCTCAAGGTTTTAATAGTACAAATCACTTAGAATATTGTATATCCTGATTGTTGATTGAACAACGATTGGATTTATAGTATTAAATGTTCGAAGGCCGTATACTTTACACATAGGCACGTGTAAATATCCATAACAAACATACAAGTGAGGTAAACTACGGGTATTTTTTATAACAGAATTGCTTACCGTAACGAGAATTGTAATGAAACCTATTTTAATAGTTAGCATAAAAAATACGTATTGACAAATTATAGCCAGTCGTCATGCAATACTTCAAGTATGTTCTTACAGTGGCTGTAAATCAATTTAATAACGCTACCGACGATTTTTGTAGTTGATAAAGCCTTTTCATTGAATTCGCAATCTATGAATGATAACACTTATAAAGAATTAATAGAAACAAATATATTAAAATAAATTGACAATAAATCTATCGAAAATAGTCGTCCTTTGTGAGTGTCGGTGTCACCGAATCTGTCGTTTCAATATCGTCATCTATAACACTAGATGCAGAAGTTAGCAAGTTTGCCAATGTATTCAACATTTCTGCTCTGTATTTTACGATGTTATTCGATTCCTCCGAATTATCGATATCGTACCATCTGTCATCAACATTATTTACAACATAGTAATGAGCGATAGCCCACATGATATCTCGGAATCGCAATAAAGTACGAGCAGTACTGAAATTCAAAATGGTTATTTGTTATTGAATCATATTTAAATTAAGTGTTAATTAATATTAGTAAATTTATACTTACTTTTCATCGCAAACTAGATTCAAATTTTTCTTCCCGTGAATTTGTAACAGAATTTTTTCTGTCTGATCTTTTTCATCTTTGTACTAAAAATTACAAGAAAATATGAATGAATTAGGAATAGTAATTTATAATTTTTCACTAAAACTATAACATTTTTATTTAAAAGATAAAATTCTTTAGTAATTTCCACTCACTGTACAGCCTGTAACTCGCCCTTGGCTGAATAGTAATACTGTTACAGGTGAAAGCATACTACTCTCTCGAATTAGAGTCATTCGCATTTCAGTATTATGTGTCTTTTGATAATAAACCATGAATGGACTTGGCCAAGAATCACGTTTATAATTTACGCATTCTGGTGTTAATTGCGCTCTACTATCTTCTCTGAAAATCACATAAATTGCTCACTATACACAATTAATGTTTCAAATAATTAATATTGGCTTAAGTTTTATTTCATTATAGCATGATAATCTTTTATTTTTTATGGTATCTAAATAATCGAATTTGATAAAACGATTCCTAATAGTTTTCAAATCAACAATTTGAACGTTTTTTTTCAACTTACTCTGTGACCATCGAACTTCCAGATTTAGTAAAACGTCCTTTTCTAAATTCAAAGTTTCTATGCCTTAAAAGTTGGTCCATTCCAGCAAGTAAAATCCCGCGTACAAGTTCATCTGAAGTAGCAAACTCATTTTCTTTACTATGAAGTCTTGATGCTACACCAATATCTTCTATCAGTCCTGTTTGGAGAAGATTTCCCATGTGTATATCTCGCATTCCTGCAATGAGAAACGATTAATTACTGCAATTTATATTTTTAACTTACATTAAGAAAAAACATAAAATCTGCTGTATGTTAGATAAAAATTGTATTATACAAGTAGAATCAGTTTTCACTATTGCAAAACTTTATTACGAAAGCCACGTGCCAAGATGAAATTACAGAATAAGTTGTATAAATAAAATATTTAAGAATTCTTATATTAATGAACATCATCTCAAAGAATATTGAATGTAAATTTTGATTCAATTCATTATCCTTACTTTTTGAATAATTTCAGATTTTTTGATAATGAATATGAAAGAATGAAGCATAAACAAAACTTTAACATAGTATAGAGACTGATGTTCCGCGCGAGCTGTGTACCTTTGTAAACATTATTTGACAAGAACGTTTACGTTATAATTTTATATAATATTTAAAAAAAATAATGTGCATTCGATAAAATAGGAACTTACTGTGCAATATCATCATTCTATCGCCATGAATACTATTTTTTCTGCAAAAGCTAAGTCCCGCTTTGGGTCCTTTCCCATAATAACTTAGCCACTGAGAATAAATCCATGCGACTGAAAGGTGATCACTTGTAGGGTGGAATTGCTGTTTTAATTTTCTTACACGAAATTTATTATCTAAGACTCCATAAAATAAGTCACTATCTAATGAAAGAAACGTCGATATAGTTGTTACTGGTTGTAAGCATCTGCAAATAATATGTCTATATTTATATAAGCTTAACTATAAGAATTTTTCTAATTTTCTAAAAGTTGTTATGGATGTAACTGAATACTTTAATTATTTTAAATAAAATATGTGCAATAATTAAAATTTTGATTTTAGACATTTTTCTATACATCTATAGCTAATTATATTACTCACTGAAAAATCGTAGCATAAACCATAGCTTTACTCAGTTTCGGATGAACACTAAAATGCGCTATTCTTTTACCCAAAAATGTTAAATTTTCATCTGAATCAAGAGCGCCCAATGTTTGCAAATCCTCAACAGCTTTTTTTACGGAAGATATTCTTGGAGGTTGAGGCATGTTGCCGAGAAATTCGTGAGGTTTTTCATCGCTATAAGTTTTACAATCTAAAACTGTTTTTTCTAAGGAAACTCGAAGAACTTCTGGTACAGGGTATGGATCCAGATCTTCATACTGTTTCTTGGTAAGAAAATGATAGCTTTCTCCTTTTTGAACTCTACCAGCTCTTCCTTTTCTATTTTAATAAAATATTATATTTTAGAAAATGAACAAAATTTCGATTCAGTATTTCATAAGACAAAACAACTTGAAAATATTAAAATGCATACCTTTGGTTGACGTTTGCCTGAGATATCCAATGTATGTTGATTGAAGACAAACCTTTATTTTCGTGCCACCTGGTTTCTCTATGACAAGCACTGTCGATGACATAGACCACGTCGGGCACCGTTATACCAGTTTCCGCAATATCAGTGGCCAAAATAATTTTTCTGTGCCCTTCTGGTACACTTTTAAAAATTTTATTTTGTATTTCATATGGTACTCTTGAATGCAGTGGTATTATTGTGTACTGTTGATTAAAGCAATTTTCTAACTGTTTTTGAATCATCTGAATATGATGCCATCCTGGTAGAAAACATAATATAGCACCAGGTGGTTTATTGCAGGATATATAATTGATAAGATCAATAATGCTGTCACAATCTACAAAAGCATCTTCATTATTTTCATTATTTCGTGGTGGTTTAATGCCAAGTTTTATGATGTCTTCTAGAAAATTCATTTCAACAGGATATAGCTTTCCCGGTATCTCTACAGCATTACAATTAAAATATTGTTGAAATAAATCAGCATTAATAGTAGCAGACATAACAATTACTTTAAGATATGGATTTAGGTTCATTGAGCGTTTTAATAATGCCAATAACATATCTGTATCTACATTTCTTTCGTGAGCTTCGTCAATAATCACATGTGAACAACCTTCCAGTCGAAAATTGGCTTGTAATTTTTTCAAAAGAACTCCTGTAGTGCAAAACAATATTGCACCACTTTGCTTTGGTAAAACCTGTTGAAGTCTAACTTGATATCCTATGGCATCCCCCACCTCTTCATTTCTTTCGAAGGCTATTCGCTGTGCCAAAGAAATTGCAGAAATTCTACGTGGCTCTGTTACAACCATACTACACTCAGCTCCTAGTCCTTTTTCAGTCATAGAATCAAAGATAAATTGCGGTACTTGGGTAGTTTTTCCACAACCTGTATCACCTTTTATCACTAATGCTTGATTTTTTTCTAACTCTTCCAAGATTTGTGACCTTAAATTTGATTGTTAATAGGTAAATATGAAAATTAATGATGTGAATAAGCTTAATTAAAAAATATATTACATAATTTACCTAAATTTAAAAATAGGGAGATCATGGTTCACAACGCTGTTTCGAAATTGTAAACGCTCTTGTAAAATTTCATTTCTTGAATTATAATCTACTCTTAAAAGAGAAATAGGGTGTTGACGTTCCAGACTCGGATTTGAAACTTTGAATGTTTCTGAACTTTCAGATTCTAATGAAATATTTTTTATTTTCTAATAAAACAAAAAATTAATAGATAATATATAAATAAAAATAAAATAAACTTTGATAAATTAAATATATTGAAAACAATGGTGTACATACATCCTCATACTTATTTAAGAAATCATCTACTTTGCTCAATATGTTACTATCAACTGTGAATTCTATTGGAGCATTTATAATGGATAATGCTTCATTTTTTTCATAAATAACTGGCATTTGATATTTTATCCTCTTTTTCAAATGTAACCAATATAATACTTTTGTTGCAGCAGATGATGAAGCTGATGCTTTTGAATGTCCTATGGCATGAAATGTTTTAGTCTCAGGCCACTTGAGCTCATAACTATATGACCATAGACGTTTTTTTCTTACATCTATAGCTTTTGAGCTTGTAGTTAAACAATGTGGAATTTTAGTTTCCTGAGCAACAACAGCGAAAAGATTATGAAGAAAGGCTTTTGGCTCTGGAAATTTCTTTTCAATATCTAACAAGAAAAAATGTATGTGATTATAATTCCTTCAGTTATTTCAAATTAATATTAAGTACAGTCAAATATTTATTACCTCGACTAGGAGATTTCTCAGTGTCACCAAACAACCATGTTTTGACAGATTCAGGAATACTATTGATATCATTAGTACTGTTACTACTGAAGTTTGTATTGATAAACTTTTTCCTAGGTCTCTTTGGTTCCACATCGTTAAAATCAGGTAAATCATTATTTGAATTAATTTGTAACTAGAAAAAATAATTTGTTAACAACAAATGTTTATGAACGAAATAAATTTAAATGTTTATTACCTCTGAGATACTGTGGTATTCTAAGGGTTTTGAATCTTTCAGAGAAGCTTGACAACTGGCCAACAATTGGGTGTGGAATCTCCTGACATGATTTGTATAAATTTTATTACAAGGTACTAAAAAATTACAAAAATTTTGGTGTAAAACATCAGAAATGCTATGAAATGTTTTTACACCAACATCTATATTTTTTAATAATCTCTGCTTTCCCATAAGCCCACGAGTACTGCAATGAGATAGATAATAGTAAAATATAAAATGTGATTGTCATACATAAATTTAGTCATACTATAGTTCATAATAAAAATGCAAATAAGCTTACTAAGTGCACATGGTTCGTCTGAAACCAACGTGAATTTTGTTCAATAACATTCTTGGGTAGTGTAATAACAGCTTTTAATAAGGTAACTATTTTATAACGAAGAAAATAATTGATTGCCTAAAAGTTTAACAATTGCAAGTTATTAATTGATTTACATAATATTCAACTGTTAATATACGCTGCAAATACGTTATCTTAAACGATTTTTTTGAGGTTATGTACATCTATATCTATATATATCTATCCTGCCTTGAGTATAGCAGTGCTAAGACTGACGAGAATATATATATATGTATATATGTATGAGGATCGCAATATGCACGTGCCGATATATATCTTGCCCGAATAGTGATGATGGTTGTCATTACTATATATTAGTTAGGGGCTAGAGGGATTTCGTTGTCGATGAAGGTCCTCTTGAACACCTATGTTTTCTAGACGTATTTTAACCTCGTCAATCCGAGTATCGAGGGTGTTTTTCCGTATACGGCGACTATCCATTGTTTATTGACAATTTAAATGTTTAAATACTCTAACTTTTTTGTTTATATAGTTAGATTAACTTTAGAAAGTTAAATGATGTGCAATTCAATAGGGAATTCAGGGAATTTTGAAAATTTCAAAAATATTAATTAGGAGACGAGATATGACCATTTAACTAACAAAAAGCCGTGTTAATACACAACGCAATTGTTTACTCGGCTGTAACTTTTTTTCTAGTAAAGTTACAGAAAGCAGCGACCTACCTAATCATTTGTTATTATATAACAAATATGCCAATTTTTTCAGATTGCCGAAGATATTCTCGTTTAACCGTAAAAAACGCGCTCTGTCGACAAAATTGTTTAAAGGGCCGACACCTTTTTGGCAATAAAGGTATTTAAATTGTCATACCGAGGGAAAGTCAATGGTTCTTGGCACGTGTAAAAATATTTATTAGAACCGGAGATATGACAAAATAAGTGCGCGCGCGAAAGACAGTTACATCAACGACCGTGCGAACGGTTTGTGCGCTGTCGCGAATTGATTTCGTAAATTTACCATATCTCCGGTTCTATATGATATTTTTACAAATTTCAAAATTCTGCATGAAACGGAGAATTCTTTTATATATTACGAACTAGTATGTCACTCGATAAAAAAATATAAACTCATAATCAAATGCATACACAGTATGGAATTTAAAAAAATATTCGACTGAAAAATGCGATTAGAATATGTCATTGAAGTAAGTGATAGTAATACAATTGTTTACCTCAACAATTAATAATTGTAAGCAAAATATTTTGAATATCCTACGTATGAATAGTTTTTAAATCGCCGAATTTCGAAGACTTGTGAAGACTTGTGAATCTGAATCTTAAAAAAAATTTTTTTAAACATATTTTTGAGTTTTCATGAGCTAAAACGTTTTCTCCCTTTTTCCGGATTAAGTCTCCGCTTGAAATTTTATTTCCGGATTTTCCGTTTTTAAGAAAATTGCGAAAAAAAAATCGGGCGTTCGGACAGCGCGCAATATGCATTAAACATTTTTCTCCTGTTTAAAAAGAAATAATATCGATAGCGGATGATAGCTCCTTATGCCCGGATTACGAAACAATTTTCCTTTTGTCGATTTTCTATTCAAAATTGAGGAAAATGTAAAGATTAGGAATATGCGGCAGTTAGTCGATAAAACCGGTCAAACATTTGCTAATGACCAGATATCCCTATGAGTTCTCAGTGCGTACAGTGCTAACATTGTTTTTCGCTACAACTCATGAACAAAAATCGATAAACCGATAAATCAGATCTAGATTAATTATTTTTGCTTAATATTAGATAAAATTATATAAAAATAGACGCTGCCTTACTTGTAAAGATACTGCATTCTGCATAATGATTTAGATGTATACAAAACTACTACCGCCACACTGCTAGACGACACAGATAGAACTGTAGTTTCGTAATCTGGGAATAAATATCATCTGCTATCGATATTATTTCTTTTTAAACAGGAGAAAAATGTTCAATGCATATTGCGCGCTGTCCAAACGCCCGATTTTTTTCGCAATTCTTTCAAGAACGGAAAATCCGGAAATAAAATTTCAAGCGGAGATTTAATTCGGAAATAGGGAGAAAACGTTTTAGCTCATAAAAACTCAAAAATATTAAAAAAAAATTTTTTTGGGCGTAAGCTTCACAAGTCTCAACGAAACGAAACGAAACATCACCAATATTTGAATAATTTGAAATTATGATCACAAAAGACTTACTTTGTATAAATATACAGCACTTACCTAAATATATAATTTAAAGGATATTGTATTCATATTACATAATATAATTTAAAAATTTTAAATAAAAAAACAATTTAATTTTTCTTTTATCCAACCATTTTTAATAAAGGAAACAGGTCATTAATTAAACGTTTTTTAATTGCAATATAAAATTCTTTATTAGCATTATTTTTTTTGTTATTTGGAAACCATTTCTACTTTTATTTTTTTTTTCTTTTGAAACTATATATTTTATCCAGGGCATAGGCAAGAATAATTAATTTTATACTAATTTTCATTAGAGTGATAGGATATGATTATTATCTATATATGGCTAACAAATTATATGAGTGTCTCTAATTGAAATTATTGTAAGAAAATGAACATAGGTGATATCGTTTGATATAGTAATCGCAACAAGTAATTACGATAATAAAAGGAGAAAAGACGCATCTTCTAGTGTTATTTTAATTATTTTGTATACAGAAGAAAGCTTCTAAAACGATGCTTATTTTCTGCTAATATACAAATGCTCAGTACTTGATATTCACCGAGCGCTATTTTCCGATTTCCGAAAAAAATAATCTAAAAATAATCTACAAATGCTAACATTTTGTATCTGCTAACATTTATTACAAAAATTTATGAAATAAAAATTATCAAAGGTTTTAATTTTATTATAAAAGCAAAATAAATTATTAAAATTAACTTTTTCAATTCAAAAAAATATTAAGCGCTCAGGAAAATGACTGAGATATCTAAACCCTTCTAAAGGGAACATACATAAAAAGTATTTTCGTACTTACTAGGTGTCACATTTTTATTTTTTCGCTTTTCTCGCGATTTTCAAAAAACATTTTGTACTTTTCGCAGTTTAGTTTAAATTGCGATTTCTCATGACAGATATCCGCTCAAAATACAAATAACCAAATAAGCTTCAATGTTGTTTACAGATGAAAAATAACTTGCTTTACAATACGTTTGTCTTTGACTTTCTCTAGTTCATTTAATAATATTGCAGTCTTTTTTAACACATTATCATTTCTATTTTACTTCATAAACATTAATATTGGTTGAGGGATATTATCAAATACACGTTTTTCAAATTTTTCTTTTCATACTTGCTTCATTCAATAACTTTTTACGTGTCGGTGTGTACATGAACATTAGAGTATAGTTTTGAAGGTGACAATCAATTTACATTAATAAATAGCTGAGTGATACCTGATACGGCGAGAGAAAAGTGCAAAATAGACAATTTCTTGACATAACAGCTGCACTTGTCAGAGATTCTTGGACGGTGTTCAAAAAATCAAGACATTGAACATTTTTATAATAACAATGAATGCAATTTAACATTTAAATTTACTTGAGTGAATAAGCTTGGTTTCAATTAGTCTTAAAATAATTTGATTTCAATTAGTCTTAAAATTAAAATAAATGCCAAACGATACAGAAAAGAAAACAAAATAAATGTCTGCTAATCTATTTTGTAAATGATAATAATCAGAGCATTACTTCATAGTAAAAAAATATGTTTAGAAAAAATAACAAAATACGATAAATACTGATTCACATGAAAACGTACAACGGAGTACAAAATTCATTTAATATTATAATATTAAGTTGTAATAGTAAATACTAAATCAGCTGTTATGTACAAGTTTAAATATTTTTGATCGTTCATTTTTTTAATTTCAATAAACCTTATTTTACACTTTTCATCAAATGCTTACTTAAATACACCGATCATAGATGTTTATGTAAACATTTTTTATTCTTATCAATTTTTTATGAAATTCTTATTCGATCCATAAGACTTAATTTTGAAATGCTACTTTAAAATTGTATCGACGAAGAAAGTACAGAGTAGCCATAATGAAAAACTTGACAAGCTGTTTGAACTTGCGACTAGCACAAACTGGCTTTGTTCAAACTCACTCTTAACCAATTAACACTATAAGACGTCCTTTTACGCTGTAATCATTATAGCGTCTAGTTATTATACAATGATAAATATAGAAAATCAATTGAGCACTTCATAAAATTCATTTTGAAAATTAAATAAAGTGAATTTAATTAATCCATAAAGCATTCTTTCATAATTAGATTTTCCTTAATTCATACAATTTGTAGAGACGCTGTAATTAATAACATAATTAATTACCCTATTTTGCACTTCAATTAATAATTAAATATTTGAGATACAATAAAGTACACACATGTCGTCAAAATAATCTAATTTTTTTTAAGTGATCGCATTTCAAATATAATATAAACTTTATCTTAGTTCCTATAATCGATTTTATTTATCTTTACAGACGCTGTCTGGCAGAATAATGACTGTTATGCATTATTTCAGAAGTTGAAATGTTATAAATTTTGAAAAGTTAAGTCTATTCAATTTTTTATAAATTATCTCACAAATATTTTATTCAAAAATGTGTAATCTGAATAAGCATAAGAGAAGAATAGCCAGAATATGTTTACAACAAGAACTTCTGAAATATTAATAATCGCATATGAAAACTCGCTTACAATAATATATAATTCTTTTATTTGTTTGCTTTTTAAAAATCCGTTTTTCGTTTAACGTTTGAATTTGATTCGCAACATACTATTATATTTTTTTCGTGGCTTTTTATCTTATTTATATATTTTTTTTTGTCTTCTGTGCATTTGGTAAATATACTCATATATATATATATATATATATATATATATATATATATATATATATATATATATATATATATTTCATAGATAGAATATACCTAAATACTTCAACAGTGGACGCTTACTACTGATTAAACCACTGCCAATATCTTATCACATTCACTTTTACGACTCCATACTAAATGATTCTTTTTTTTTGCTCCAGTATTTTATGGCAAACCAATTAAATTTCCTGGTATTCACAGCTCGTATGTTACTACTGTTTGCAATCAATTATCGAACAAGACTGATTCCAACCATCTGAAATTGCGTATTATTAAAAGTAAGAAAGACTTTGTGATTCAACAGCTGACAAGTTTTTCTCATTAGAGTTGCAATTCTCCCTTAAATAAGAAATAAAAATTAAACAATAAGCCATGTATATTAATACAATTCCATAATGTACAAGCGCATTATACGATATCTACCTTTCTTCGTCGACGATGATTTATTTAACGCCTTTTACGACCATGACGCCGAGAGAACCTGCGATTTCTGAAATAGAAAGGTAAGAAATATATGTATGAAGTACTTTGTAATTTTCAGTAGTAAACATATAAATGTTAAGATGCATACCTGATTCTTTTAGGTGAAGGTGTCGGGGTGTGTTCAGCAATGACAGGCAATACAGATGTAAATTTATCAGTCGGGCGTAGCAAACGAGCCGTTCTAGATGACAGCTTCCAAATGAGCCTCTGCCTATAGGGCGTTTGTTCTTGGGCATTGTACTTACTTAGTATGACGCCTACAGCCTCGTGCGTGGCATAGAAACTTGTGTCGGAGATCTAAAGTAACACGAAAATTGTTATGAACATTCCTTGTTTAATTAAAAATTGTGGTTAATACAGCAATTACGAACATTGCATGTTTTTTGTAATTTCGCTGCAAACTCCACTAGTCTGAGCATCTCATGAGCCGCAGCAGGTGGATTATCTACGGAGGATGATCCCGAGGAGCTAGTCGCGCTGTTGTCGGCGTTTGATTTCAAACGATTAACAGCAGCATCCAAGTAGGTACAAAACAAAACGAGCGCAACTTCGGATGGCCTGAGACTGGCGCAATTGCCGTCGCAAGCAACCATTTCTAGGCGAAGAAGCAGCTCCGATTCCTGTAGATTGAACCGGAGTTGAGCGCATTGTTCGAGGGCAAGAAGCGTGCAATGGCGAGCGCAGCGGTACAAAGCGAATTACTCACGGAAACAACACTGGCATAAAGGTCTCCGAGTCCGAGCTGCGACGCAGCCATCTGAAAGATGACATTGAAGAGGTGCAGGAAGGTAAGCGAAGTGATGGGCTGAGTGCCGGGCGCCCACTCGAGCTTGTTGCGAATGAGCTCGGACATGCGCTTGAGGTCACCGACGGTGCACTTGCACTGCGATATGGAGACGAGGTGGTCGGCGTCGAGGGACTGCTGGGCCATCTGGACGGCGGCAGTGTAGAAGGAGGACACGCTTATGCACCCCATGTGTTTGGGCCTGGCCTTCATCTTGGTGAGGAAGCGGTCCATCAGGTTGATGGCGATGAACAACACGTCCGACGGCAGGTCGTACCAGACCTTGAGGCAGCGTAGCACGTGGGCCGAGCCATCTCGCGAGCCGATCGTTATTTCGTCGTTCTGCAAGCACGAACCGACCGACGAGCCGATTAGCCACGCTCCACTAGCGCCGGTTCCGCGATCAACGTACCTGCGTGCTGGCGGGTATCTGGAGATTCGGCTGGTACTTTGGCTCGAGGCAGAGGGCTTCTTTGAGTCGCTCGAGGAGCGGTTGGATTGCATCCGGCACAGGCGAGCCCAAGCTATCCATTCCTGCGAAGTGCCGCGTGTCACTGATGGCTGACGACTCAGTGAGCTTGGCTGGTCAGCGGTGGCGTTCGTGACGATGATCGATGGGGCTCGCGAGCGCCGTGTAGCGGCTGCACCAGTCCAACGATTATCCTCAGACCAAGAGGAATGGCCCAGCTAGCTGGCCTGATATCTGTAATCAAGCAGGCATGCCACCTTATAGTCACGTACAAGCACACCAATCATCAACAGCGTTGACCGCGAAAATCAGTAGAGTGTACTGCCGCTTTCCAATTTCACGATGCGCGTACGCCAGCTTAATAAAGCGCTGGCTACTCTTCGATGTTCTTTTTCACTTTTAACAATCCCCTGAATTTTTAGAAATTGACTACTGGAAAAGACGACGAAGAATGAATTTCTCGGTCATCCCCCCTCCCCCTCCCCCTTCTGTTTTTTTATTTGATATTGTGTCCGAGGTTCTTCCTTGCCAACAACCCAACACAGAAATAGCCTCGTCACGCATGAGCGGAACTGGTGATTATGCAAGAGACCTCGTCGCACTCGGCTTTTCCATTATATACCTTCGGCGGGACAACGACCGCAAGTGCAATCAAGTTACCGTCAACTTTGTTTTCTTTTTTTCTGATTCCAAAGCTTACGTAAATGCCCTCCTTTAGCGACTGCCTCTTATTCTATATACGCGTTTGCGCGCTCGCGTTGCCGAGCAGTTTTGCCATTTTAGTTGATATGCGCTGATCGCGATTACATACCCCGCGATACTTCGAAAAGCTCTTTTGTCTTGAGAACTTGACGTGCGAAGGTCCTTTTTCATTGGTACAACGGTCATATATGGCCAATAAACTTTGTAGGCACGAGAAGGCCGCGCAGAGAAAAGGAAAACGCCGAGAAAAGATGAAAATAATTGAAAAGGAAGGTTGGCGCGCCTAATGTCTGCGACGCAGCAGCGCAGAATAAGGTGACTTCTGAAGATACGAAAAAAGGCGCGAAGGTCACTGACTTGCTCGAAGGCTGACTTGCCAAACCAAAGGTTTTTCTCGCCGGGCCGTTATTTGACAAATACGTAACCTAAGTGTGGGCGTGGTTTTGAAGTGACGTCGATTAGAATCGGAACTCATTGGTGATTTAATCAGCCAAACGAAGACACTCGGATGACAATGCAAGTCGAAGTTGCAAGTGAGCTTGGATTATTAAAGCCCCTAGAGTATAGAGTCCATCCAAATTGTACTCGTTGCTGAGGCACGCTTCAATCGCGAGGTGCATTTCCAAGCCTATAATATACTTTCACGAGACAGCCGACCGTACATCGACACGCTTTTACGAATTAAACACGGGCGTCGCATGAACATATTTCACGCGATATATTCAATGAAAGCGATGGCTTCAATAAGTGTTATACTCGTTCCGGCCGCCTCGAAAATTTTCTACGCCTTATAAGTTTGCCCCAAATCTTTGTTACGTACCTAGACTTTATACTAATTTCCTCGAAATAACTCGAGGATAAGATAATGTGCATAGATAAAACGCAAAACCGTTCAACAATACCATCACGCGACTTAGTCTAAGCATTATGCAAGATAACGCGATGAGAACTGACTTGACATTCGCAATTTGGATTTTCCAACTCTGGAATGACAATCAGAATTTTCAAAGGAATAATGAATGTATTAATAAGAAATGACTCATTGAATAAAGAAAGTAACATCTTAAGAATTTCTAACATTGTTATTTACTACTGAATACACTGAGTAAATTTATATGAAATGTTCTATAATCTGTAGTAAAAATTGCTACCAATATAGTAAGCATGGGATACACTTCAACTAATAAAAATTACTAATAGTAAAATGTCGATGTTGGAATAGTACATTACGATAGAAGTGCGGATAAGTAGACTCTTGTCTCTTGTGGCACACCAAAAAAATCTCTTTCTCGAACATGCGTCGTACCGTATTTTTCAAAACAACACGTGAAAAGTGCGTTTTTCGATGTACGCTTTTTGCCGAGTGTGCATGACAGATGTATTTTACATACGGAATGTCGAAATGAAATTTTTCTACGTAACATAGTAAAATTTACTCAGACCCATCGTAATTACTAGTATAGACTGAACCTATTGTTAAAAAGTTATTTATTCAGAATAAATTAGCACGGTAAATTTTACTACGTACATAGCTATTTTTACTACTTCAGGAAACTACATTAAAATATATTTAATTCGAAACATTCTCGAAATAACATTAATCTTGAAAATATCTGTTTGGAGTAGAGCGTAAACAATTCTTCAATATATGACCGTTAGTACCTATACACATATATCTTGCGTATCTATTTATCAATTCACAAGTTAACCTATTTAACCTATTACACGTAGTTCGCCGGTTAGCCACTTAACCGCATGAATTTTTACATGCATGATACAGACTTACGCTTTGTTATATCGTAATCAAATATTTATTTTGCCACTTGCATTAAACTACCATCCATACGTGGCCCCTGCAACTTATTGTCTGACCAATTGCTTCTACACGGTATGCCATTGCAAAGTACTACGCACGCGTCACGGAATTTCAATCCGAGCCTAGTAATTTTTGCTACATTTGTTATAAATAACGTTTCCGCTGCATAAATTGCTTCTAGGATCCGATAAATGACCAGCTTAAACGTATATTTTCCTACTTCAAGTTTCTTTCTACGGCCCAAACATATTTATATTTATTAGTACAAAACTGCTTGAAATTTAAATGTTTTTACTTGACTTTCAACTGTCAAAACAAACTTGGAATGGGAGAAACGAGTACTGAACCAAGTTAAATAATTTCGGGACTCTAAACGCAATTTTTATAACGGGATTATTGACTACAAATCATTCATTATTATATATTTTAATAACTATTATTTTTGCTATAATGTACTTTATAATACCCTCGTGTAAAAATAATTATGAAAGAAATGAATAAAAATTTAATAAACTTTTCAACGATTCAATATATTTCAGGAATACTATGTTTGTAGTAAATTTTACTGTAACTATAACACATTTTATTATAACAATACTCTCAGTGTAAGTAATTTTATAATTTGAGAGAAAATTAATAGATACAGTATATTCAATGTGTATAAAAAAGTCGCTTGATTTCTGGTCTGTTATTATTTGATTAATTGAATAAGATAGAATCATACAAATAAGATAAGAAAAATTGTCTCATAGACTTTTAAACTTGTATATTAACGAATTGCTTATAATCAATTAGGGTCGAATTTATGCGCGAAAAATGCGTGTTTAGAAACGATATTTGATTATGAAGTAAAATAATATTTTTCACGTTATTCATTACTTCACTTGTAATTAATTAAATTTTTGGTTACAATCAATTAACTGATAAAGAAAGTTTACTGCGCAAATTATAAATAATCGATCATTTGATAACAGGGTTAGATTATGAAGAAAGAAAAATACCGCACATGAGTATCATGGAACTTCAAAATATCACTTACACCGAAAAAAACACTGGGAGAAAAAAATTTGATGCTTGCTGGTAAAAACAATTGGTCACCTCATCATTTCCCAGTCTACCTTGTTCTGAGTATAGAAATCGTCACTCACTTTTATCTACGCAATTCCCCAAGCTACGTAACAAGCGAGAGTTGCGTCATCGCGAGTCTAAAGCATGTGGAATGTACTAGATGTCTCTCTTTGCATACTTTCGAAACTGATTTCCACTTCGGCAACATTATTTTCATTATGGAAAATTAATTATTTTCCAGCTTTTTCCATCAAACATCATGTGGTTGCCATTGCTTATTGGTTAGAAAATCGTATCAGAAATTTCTTTATAGAGAACACAAAATAAGTCGAAGATAGTATTAGACGATATTCGAAATCCGTGGAATGATCGAGAAAAATCTGGTACTCTCGTGGATCTTCGCAGTCCGCGTAAAATGAAAAAATTAAATGGCACATGGTAAATTGTAACATAAGCTGTTATATACGTACTCGTGAAGCGTTGCGTATAAACATAAAAAAAAGATATATCGATTCGATAAGTCACGTTTTTATTTAGCATTATTTTCCCCGCGGCTTATTACAAGGTTACGTGAGGAGTCACTTTTGGAGTACATACGTATATTTTTAGTCATTTTTTTGTATACAATCAAAAAATTTTCCGAAAGAATCTTTCCAGTAAAGCAGTTTACTTAAAGTTTGTCAATAGAATTGGAACAGCAAAATAACGCTACTTATTAAAGTATTTTTTAAGGCATGATAATTTCAAAATTGTTTTGTTTGTACTGTGAAAAATATTTCGATGAAACTATTCGAGTCTTTAGATGATATAAAGGTAAATAACGGATGACGCAATATCTTGAATTTTAGAGAAATGTGACGTCATGACAAAAATTGACTACTCCACCGATTCTCTTCATTTCAATTGACAAAACATTCAGTAGTTGACAAATTATAAAAAGGCGCAACTTCGTCACAGTAATGTACGGGTCAAGTTGTAATTCATCCATTAAACTATGATGATCTGTGAAAGTTAACGAAATCGAATAGCCGCAGCATAGCAAGGATAGGGCAGCGGCTGCATGTAGGAAGCACTCATTATATACTCTATGACAAGCGTTTCGCATCAGTGCAATAACAGCACATATCTTGGACATTGCGGACGTTTCATAAAAGAGGCCAGGGCCGCGTGCACCAACAAACGACCATAACATCCAATTGCATCCTTCAGCGTGAACACTCTGAGGACCACTTCCTTACATCTACCTGTTAAGTGTAATACCTCTTTCCTGTCCGCAATGATAATTAAAAACATTTTCCCACGCTACGTGACTTCAGGTAGAACGCACTGCTCATTTTCCCCGAGAACCTAACTAGTACCACTTTCTTATTTAGCTCTCTAATTTTTACGCACATCTACATCATTTTTATATACATGAAAACAAGTTCACGATAAATTAGCTTATGAAACTTAAATTTTCTTAACGGAAAATGATAAAAGTTATTAAGTATCATTCAATCATGCAAAGGTTATGTTCGATTTTTCTTGCTAGAAACATCTATTAGAAAGACTAAAAGAAATTTCTGGAGTTCTCCTTTAACAGCTTTGAGGCTAATTGAAAATATTTTTTCAGGTTAAAATTTATTGAGATTACAATTGAATGACACTATGACAATGTATTTCTATTGTTTTGTTGAATAACAATATTAATACAATTGCTTAAGATATTTCATCAGAAACGTTATTACCTATGGATCCGTCATTTAAGCTATGCTATCTAAATATCAAATCGACTAAAAACCGTTGAAGGAAAAATTAGAAAATAATTTATAAAAGTCGAAGGTGTGCTTTAATGAAAAAAAAAATTGTATAAAAAAATTTCTGCACTTTAGCGATTCCTTAAAGTCAATAATGAAGGAAAATATTGATAAAAATGCAGAATACTCACACGTATATTATCACAGAAAAGTCGTTGAAGGACTGGGAATTGTCCTGTCAGGACGAATTTAGCGATGAACGTCTTGGAAGAACAAAGCGTATAAACGCTGAGCGAGTGCGTGCACGTGAGTTTGGTCTTGTACAGCTACGCGTTCGTAACGGCTGATGCAAGCGCAAGCTACGCAAAAGCCTACGTCAAAAACAACCAGGAGTACGTGCCGACCCAGAAGAAACTTGAATAAACAACTAATCTTGTCGAATGTCTGCGTGTTAACTTTCACTCGTCTCTTCCTGTTTCTCTTGTCTTTCTCTCATTGGTTATTACGTACTTGTTTGTTCAAATAAATCAGTGATAAGGGAATAATCGTTCAGTCTTATTCGTCGCTTTTTGTTCCGTTGGAATGTAAATACTATGGGTTATTAATAAATAAATATTCAAAATAACAAATAACTACGATTGACTATAAAAATTGACTGTTTTCTATTGTGAAACGCACCGAGAGGCGACACGGAGTATACGTGACACACTTTAATGACTCAGTTCGAATTTTCGGGAAACTTTGTAATCGACGGACAGTTTTTCTCCTTGATCTAGGAGTAGCCTCATAATCCAACTACACTTCACAACCAACTCTTTTAAAATCATACCAAGCACGTATCACGTACGCGGATTTTCAACTCGCATAAAATGCGCGCGCATACACGAAGCCACTTGCTGGGATTCAAAGTTTTCAAACGTGGCGTTTGAAAAATTCAACCAATCTATCCACTATTTGGAGAAACTTCACAACGGAGATCCAATGAACAATCGTAATGCGAACAGTGTGTGGTTTTCTTCTGTTGACGAAATAACTTCACTGACCACACTTAAACAGATATCGATCTGCCGCTTCGCAGAGCGAAGAAAGACAGACAACAGTACTTGACAAGGTTTCAACTACGTCTGGCTGCCCGGCTGCTTTTTTCGACAGCTATTATAGTCACTCACACGAGCGTACGGCCGATCATGTCGGTGCGCCGTTGAGCGTCGTTGCGCAGCTGTGCGTGCATCAGTGTGTGTGCGAGAGAGTGGCTGTGAAACGAACAAAGAAGGGGAGCGAAGCGAACCAAGGATGGCTGAGCCCATAACTGGCTGAGTTCCTCGCACAGTCGTGCGATTCTCTCTCGAGCCTCGAAGTTCAGGGACGTATGCCAAAGCGCTCTTGGGACCCTCGACTGAAAATTCTACTTTGCCTTTTTTTTAACATAATGCGATAGCGTTATTTTTAATTTAGAACGAGCCAGCGTATACTTTGCTTCCTATACATTTTATCATGGTTATTTGTTCAATTGCGAGTTGCTATAAACACATTTTTTATTATTTTCGTGATTATACTCAGATGAAAAGTACGTAATTGGCCCTATACGTGCAGTGTGAGCTTCGATCTGAGCTTGAGCCTTTTGTTACTAAGATTATCCGAGGTACAACCATGTTTGAAAAGTAAAGAAATTACAGTACGTAGTGCTCATTATACAGATAATGTTCGCTCAAAGTTTAACACTTTAATGTAGTTCGGTACTACTCAAGGCTACTCACTACTTCGTATGTTAAGAAGCTCCAAACGAATTTTGTAATTCAAACTTGACCAGCACACGGTACCGAAAGAAATAAATTCGATAACTGTACTGTTAAATACGAATGTGCACCAGCATAACAATCCGGCACTTAATATTGAAGGTAGCATGATTTTTGTAACTGACTTTCAAAGCTACTAATTAACTAATTTGCGGTTATTGGTGCACATACTCAAATGACGTAATGTAAAATTGTTATCTAATCAATTTTTAAAAGTACATGTACATAAAAAAACTTTTCAATGGCATTGTCATTATGTCATTTTACATTACCCGACCACCTTACTGCGTGACTTTGAAAAATTATGTCGGATAGCCTTGTTAAAAGTAACATGAAACATGCGATTATCAATTTGGAAAATTTACTTATGTATATATGTTACTAAGAACAATCAACACATTTGTTAAAGAAGGGTGTGTAAAATGTTAATGCAATGATGCCAGGGACGTATCAAAACCTTGGAAAGCCTTGTGCGTACAGATATTTTTGCACAAAGCCATAAGGTCATGTGATAGCATAAGTTATTAACTGACTATATAGCAACATTGGAAAAATTTTGAGCTATGATGAAACATTATTTAGATGGACGATATTTTTGTCCAAATATAGAACGCAAACAGTTTTTATAAAGCAATGTATTGAAGAAAAACAAGTTATTTAGCTATCCATTATTTTTACAGAGAATCAATTATTTTTAGATCCAACAACAGATAAACACAAAAAAACCCAAACGTGTTCCAACACGAATCGATACGTCACAAAAATGAATGACTCATCAGCATGATTTTTGCACTCCACTTATATCAAAATATGCTGGAATGAGATTGGAATGCAGCCCTCAGTAATTGTTTAGAATATTAGTAATCGTTAAAATCATGTGGTTTAAATTTGAGGTTTTTAAAAATAATTATTTGTTAATCAACTAATTCTACAATAATTTTAAATAATTTATAAAATGATTAAGTTGTTTTTACTCATTTCGAACGGCATAATCGTTTGCTAATCAACATGTTCGCTGTGAAATGAAGGACTTTTATGCAACAAAGCTTGTGTAACAAATTCTTCATAAATTATTTATTTTATCGAATATTATTTCTTTAGCAGTTCAAAATTTTTTTAAATAAGTTCAGTACATGCTCTATTTCAATTCAGTTGATTTAATCGCGTACAATTTTGATTGAATAAATTTCAAGCAGTCTTATCTATTGTTAATGATTAAAGACAAAGATGGTTTAAAATTTAATATTTACGTGACTGAACTCCTGAAATATCACAAAAAATTGTGTAAATTCATTATACGTAATTCTTTAGGATCAACGATGGGTCAAAGTGTTGCTAATAATTACGCAACTAACATGAACTATACCATCTAGAAAATTGTGCGTGTTCAAACTTGCCTTCGCTAATTTAGACACGTGCAGATGTCAAACATGTGATAGCAAGTTGACTGCTATTTAACTAATCTTGTTTAGGAACACATCAAACATATTACACGTACATTACTCCAGCATGACTAAAAAATTTTATTCGCGATATTCTTATCGAATATACTATATTATCGACTTGTATTTTAATATTAAAATACATTTTGAATTAGTGCTTGGTCGTTCACTATTCTTATAATTGTTATAAGCATACTTGTAAAATCATCACCATTATTTTCATTCATTGACTTCATTTTCAAATTGGTATTTTTAGGAAATGAAAGTTATCATTTAGAAAGAAAACGGTTGGTCCTTCGTTCTGTTTGTTAAAAATATGTATTTATTTCTATTATATATTCCAGTATTTATTAAACATACATCTTTTCAGACAATTAATGTGTTATTTATAGTTTATCAAGTTGATTAATAATAAAATTGTAATTAATAATTAATATTATCAAGATTATTAATTATCAGAAAATACAATTAGTTTTTCATTAGTCACGTGAAATAATACTTTCAACTATATAAGTCATACTTTGGTCAAAGTAGACATCCTCAACAATAACATTATCATTAATGAATCTATCTATAACAACAAAATATCAGGTTTCTTTTGCTCATTGACTTTATACTCATTGAGTTTTTCACACAAAGAAGTTTAATATGAAATAATTTTGTCGAGGTAATGATTACAAACATCCGATTCTCAAAATAAACAATCTCATTAATAAAGGTAAAACTATCTCTCTTATTTGTCTTTCCTGTCATTAAACATTCAAATATTATACTAAATGTACACGTGCATTCAGCACTTTTTTCAAATTATACGTAAATGTTTATTCTGCCTGCTCAGTTATATTATACGTATATTATAACTATATTATAATGTTATATTATACGTATGTTTTGCTATACAATTTTAATGTGATAAACTATATAAATTACAAATGCTTTGAACAATTCTTACTATTTTAGTACATATCACGCAAATTTTGTTAACATAAAATTAACTACTCAAAGATAAAAACACAATATTAGTTCTAAAACCTTTCTGTAGTTAGATCAAAGTGTAAACGCTCGAAAATGTCAACACAGTGGAAGCATCAGCTATTTAGCTGAGACATTCGGTATGAGAGAGGGAGGGGGGAGGAGACGCTCAGCTCAGCGTATAATAGTAGGTAGGAGAGATCAATACGCTCCACAACAAAAACAAACTCTTGGTGCTCCGAAAATGCAGCGCTTTCAAAGGAAAAATGTAAAACGAGGTAGGTAACAATGTTCGATAAACAAAAGCTAAAAACAAGACGATGAATGAATAATCGCGAGTAGGACAGCACACAACGGTGTACGTAAGTTCACTCGCGAAATACCGTGCGAATGAACGGCGTCGAAAGTAGCCTACAACGCAAAATAACCATTTAGAGTATTCTGGTATAATTAGATAAATACTATGGTAATTAAGATTACTAGCTAAAAGTATAAATCTTGAATAGGTAGCATATAATATCAAGTACAGATGCCCGCGAACGATGAGAGAACGTAAAGCAAACCAGACAAAGGAGCACAGCGGAGCTACTACTACGCACTACGTATCGCGTCAGTAGATAGTCGCGAAAAAATGAGCGGCCTCCTTATTAACAACCAATACGAAATAGACTCACCCGGATGCGTTCCGCTAAAGTCTCACGTCAAAGGATCAGCCAATGCCCCAGCGTTTGTTACCCGAAGATTAGACAACAAAAAAAAGGAAAATAAAACGGCACACGCAAGGGAGAGAGAGTGACACGTCTCCCCAAGTCAGAGCCGTGAAACTCTCGCTCGTTGCGGGGCCAAAACTGGGCGCTGGACTCGCTGCTCGCTATACCTTCTCTCCCTCTCCCGAAGCAGCTTGCGCGCATACACTCAAAGCTCCGACGACTATAGAGTGCGCACTTGCCTGCAGTTACGTACACACCCACACCCACACACACACACACACACACACACACACACACACACACACACATATACACACACAGAATATGTGCGTATTATTGTTGTTACATACAATATATACATATAGATGTTGCTATTCCTTTCAGGATACGCAATAACCGCTTATTTCGCTGTTTGATAGTTGGAGACGGTCTAAAATACGTTTTCAGCTGTCAACTTGCGCTCAAGATGGCTAGAATAGGCTTTAGGTCTCAACCACTTACCTAAGTGCAAGTCAAAATAATTTTATCTGATTCCCAGTAGAAAATACTTGATTTATTAAATGACTAAAAGTGAAGGCGAAATTGTTCATCAGATGAAGATCCTGCATACGTAACACATTGTCGAGTAATTTAAAAAAATCGACCTGACTTTTTTACAAGAAACGTTGATAGTTTTATGTGGAATTTATTACTATATAAATTTTTATGTTTCATTATCGACCAGTGTCAATTTTAATCGTAAAATGATTCTATTATATAGAATCAGTAATCTATGATTATGCTAAAGAACATACTTTTTAAAGCATCATTATCTTTCCTTTTTTAACTTATTTATAAGGTTTTAGTTTTCATAATAATTCATTATGAATATAAATATTAATGAAAAATAAATAATGCAATTACTTTATTTTCAAAATTTTTTATAATTCTATGGATAGTTTATGAAAAAATACTTTTTTCAATGTGTATGATCTAAAATCAAATTATGAATTCACGTCGTGCTTAACGGTTCCTTTCGTCGTTATAAAAGGCAACGTAATCATCAGACGATAGAAGGTATGAAATAAGTATTACTTTTTAATTAGTTATATACTTTTTTATTTATCATTAATTTCTTTTAAATGTGTGTAAAAAACAAAATATTTCTTTAACTAATGTTTTTTTTTGATACTCATAAATTAAATTTTACAATATATCTTCATTGCTCATGTTGGAAATATTTCCTTCATCTCATTTGTAAACTTTATTATTCAAATTCAAATTTTAAGGGAATTTTTTTGCTACCATTTGAACCGTATACAAACGAATTAGACTTGTGAATCTGACGCCCAAAAAAATTTTTTAATCATATTTTTGAGTTTTTATGAGCTAAAACGTTTTCTCCCTTTTTTCGGATTATGTCTCCGCTTGAAATTTTATTTCCGGATTTTCCGTTTTTAAGAAGATTGCGAAAAAAAATCGGGTGTTCGTACAGCGCGCAAAATGCATTAAACATTTTTCTCCTGTTTAAAAAGAAATAATATCGATAGCGGATGATAGCTCTTTATTCCCGGATTACAAAACAATGTTCCTTTTGTCGATTTTCAAAACAATCATTGATCAAAAACTTATAGCTTAGTTTTATATTTGTTGAATTATTTAATAACGAACTTAATTTTACTTCCATTCTTCTTAACAATACAAAGTAATAATCCATTGTAGCATATTATAAAAATACTTCAATATATTGAAAATATAGTAAAAATACTTCAATATATTGAACAAAACAATCATTGATCAAAAACTTATAGCTTAGTATTTTTACTATATTTTCAATATATTGAAGTATTTTTATAATATGCTACAATGGATTATTACTTTATATTGTTAAGAAGAATGGAAGTAAAATTAAGTTCGTTATTAAATAATTCAACAAATATAAAACTAAGCTATAAGTTTTTGATCAATGATTGTTTTTTTCAATTTTAACTAGTCAATTCAATTTTTTTATTACTTTGTTCAGAATTATGTTATTTTATATAGTTAAAATATTAATTATAAAATTGGCATGTTGACAAACTTATAGAAAACCTTAGAAAAAATTATTTATGTATATGTACATAAAATGTGAATGGTTAATTGAGTAGAATTTGAATTACTCATTATTATAATTACGCAATGTAGAACTCATATAGGGATATTTGGTGATTAGCAAACGTTTGACCTGTTTTATCGACTAACTGCCGCATATATTACTAATTTTTACATTTTCCTCAATTTTGGATAGAAAATCGACAAAAGGAATATTGTTTCGTAATCCGGGAATAAGGAGCTATCATCCGCTATCGATATTATTTCTTTTTAAACAGGAGAAAAATGTTTAATGCATTTTGCGCGCTGTACGAACGCCCGATTTTTTTTCGCAATTTTCTTAAAAACGGAAAATCTGGAAATAAAATTTCAAGCGGAGACATAATCCGGAAAAAGGGAGAAAACGTTTTAGCTCATGAAAACTCAAAAATATGATTAAAAAATTTTTTTGGGCGTCAGATTCACAAGTCTATACAAACATGTATATGTGTACACATATGTATAAATATATGTGTACTTATAATTAGTTACCCGCGAAGTTCAAAATCAAAATTATTTTTAATGATTAAGCATCGATAGCATCAAATAGTTTTTCTCTGGCAATTACGGGGGCACAAATTGCCAAAATATGTACTTGACCTAATCTCGTTCAGTGTCATCGATGTATAATCGTCAAAAGTAGTTCAGAGTATATATATATATGCATTTCAAGAAATGTGCTCGAAGTATAGACATATATTTAATATGTATATGTAGGACGTACCGCATATGTAGGAACCGCTACACGTATTTTCAACTTAGCTGTAGTTAACCTAGACATTTTCCAATTGCCAATTCACTTTTTCAGCTAACAACTCGCAATAAAGATTCACATGCATTAATATAATATTATTTTGTAGTGACCGTTCCGCTTCTAATAAGAAAGATCTACTTTTTTAAGTAGAATAAAGCAAAAATGTCTGAATCTGAAAAGGAACATTCAGATGATGCACAAACCAATATTTACAATTTTCCACCAAGTGTACAAGCTGTGATTGAGAAGGTGAAATGTTATAAATCTATTTGTAGATACTATATTACTATTTCAATTATTTTAAAACTATAATAAATAATTTACATTTTTATGGCCATTGTCTAGGTTTTTCCTAGTAATGATCCTCTAGATCAGCCAGATTTTAATGAAGTGGATTATATAAATACTTTATTTCCAACTGAACAATCATTATCCAACATAGACGATGTCATTAATAAAATGGAATCAGAAATGGCTTATATTGACAAAGAAATCCGAGCAGCTGTTAGAAGTCAAACAAGTAATACTCAAGATGGTAAAACAGCATTAGAGGATGCTCAAAAGTCGATTAGACAATTATTTGCTCAAATTAAAGACATCAAAGCTAAAGCAGAAGAATCAGAGGAAACTGTGAAAGAAATCACTAGAGATATCAAGCAATTGGATTTTGCTAAGAAGAATCTAACAGCTTCTATCACTACATTGAACCATTTACATATGCTGGTTGATGGAGTTCAAACCTTGAAGTAAGTTTATACAATTTTTTTTGAGCTGATAATTTTACAAGGTATAGTACACTTTTGAGATTATCATTGCTTTGAAAATATCTTTCTTTAATCTATTTTTTCTAAAACCTACTATGGTTGTAAAAACCTAATGTAAAATTTTTTTTTGCCACTACAATTCCTTACAATTTAAAACATATTCTCTATTTTTTTAGAAATTTAACAGCAAAAAAACAATATGGAGAAATTATATTACCATTGCAAGCTACAATGGAAGTAATGCAACACTTTAACTGTTACATGGATATACCTCAAGTTAAAGAGCTTTCAGATGAGGTAAATTTTAGAAGAGTAATTTTTACAGTATAATTAGAAATGAAAACTGAAATCTATATTTGATGTTTTGAAATCATTTAATTATTAAAACAAAATGGATGTATATTGGAATTGCAGGTTCATCAAATTCACATAGAATTAGCTCAACAAATAACTACTGATTTCAAAGAAGCATTTTCTGGACAAAATCCAAAGTATTTTGCTCAATTAACAGAAGGTTGTCTGGTATTGTCTGTACTGGATCCTAAAGTAAAGTAAGAAATATTTATTTAAGTTTCATTCATAAACAAAATAGAAATACACAAAATATATTAAGTTTTCATATTGTAGGAAAGAGCTTTTATCTTGGTTTGTTACAATGCAATTGCAAGAATACACACACTTATTTGATGAGAACCAGGAATTTGCTTGGTTGGATAAAATAGATAGACGTTATGCTTGGATAAAAAAACATTTGCTGGAATTTGAGTCGAAATTTGGACATATATTTCCCAGAGATTGGGAAGTTTCTGAGCGTATTGCAGTTCAATTTTGTCATATAACCCGCGAGGATTTGTCCAAGCTTATGCATAAAAGAACTGCTGAAATAGATGTAAAATTATTGCTCTTTGCAATACAGAGAACATCTAATTTTGAAAGCTTATTGGCAAAAAGATTCACTGGTATAACTTTGGAAGATCACAGTAAGCAAGACAAAAAACAGAAAAAATTTGAAGCAGGCGCTCTGTCAGTAGTGGGAACAACAGCGTCAGCAACCACAACTGATAATGTACCGGGAAATCCTTTTGAAGAAGAAAATATCGACAAGGTAATGAACTATATTGAGGATTATAATTATAACTGGTACTAATTGTTGTTCAACTATTTATGCTCCAGGGAGAACTTGAAAAGCCCGCTACATCGCCGTTCAATAATTTAATAGGCAAATGCTTTGAGTCGTATTTATACATATATATTGAAAGTTTAGATCGAAACCTAGCCGAACTGATAGAAAAGTTTGTCGCGGACTACAAAGCACAGCCGCCAGGCGCTCAGGCTTACGGGACTGGCGAAGCTGCTAGCAGCGTGCTTTCCTCTTGTGCCGATCTTTTTGTTTTTTACAGAAAATGTATGATTCAATGCACCCAATTGAGCTCCGGCGCTATCATGCTTAATCTTGCTGAAACTTTCCAAAAGTATTTGCGAGATTATGCTCTCAAAATTTTGCAAAACAATCTGCCCAAGTAAGTTTACTCATATATCTTGCCATTTTTAACAGAATCAACTATACTTTGATAAATATTTTCAAATCGTTGTACAAGTATTTATATATTTTTTTAAACAGAATTGGAGGAGTCAGTTTAGGGTCCAGTGTCAGCAGTATCACTCGAGAATTCCGAGATTTATCTACTTCTGGTTTTATTCAAAACTTTTCAAGCTTTTTAAAAGAAGGAGAAACCAGTAAATTTAGTAGAGAAGAACAGGCGCGTATTTGCTGGTTTGTCTAATTTGAATTTTATTATTTTTAAATATGAATTGCTTTATCATGCCAACCTCGTATTCTTACTTTAGTATCTTAACAACTGCTGAATACTGCCTTGAAACAACTCAGCAATTGGAAGAGAAACTTCGTTTAAAGACTGATAAAATTTATGCAGATAAAATTAATTTATCGCAAGAACAAGACACTTTCCATGGGTAAGGTTTATTTTAATAACGCTTTCTGCTCTATAATTACAATTTTTTATATAAATTAATTTGTAAATCAATAATTTCAGAGTTATATCAAATTGTATTCAGTTACTGGTTCAAGATTTAGAACTAGCATGTGAACCTTCATTAAATGCTATGATTAAGGTATAGTTAATCTGTTTAATTATAATATAATATAATATATTACCATTTCCTATATATTTTTTTATTGTTAGATCCCTTGGAGTACACTAGAAAGTGTTGGGGATCAGAGTAGTTATGTCAGCACGATTGTGGCTTACCTTCGTCAAACAATTCCTGTTATCAGAGACCAATTGTCTTCTTGCAGGAAATATTTTACACAACTTTGTATCAAATTTGTTACGTAGGTATTACTATCAATTTCAAATTCTTCAAATTTTAATAACTCACTCTTGTTTTTGCAGTTCATTTATTCCAAAATTAACTCAACAAATTTTTAAGTGTAAGCCTTTGAATACAGTTGGTGCTGAACAATTATTACTTGATGTTCATATGTTAAAAACTGCTATTTTGGATCTTCCTTGTATAGGATCTCAAATGCAAAGAAAAGCACCAGCAACTTATACAAAGGTATGATTACAAATATTAATTCATAAAGTTTATCTAAAGATAAAATATGAAAGAACACTATATATTGCAGGTTGTGATAAAGGGTATGACAACTGCTGAAATGATACTTAAAATTGTCATGTCACCAACAGAATCTGCTAGTGGTTTTGTTGATCAGTGTAAAAAGTTACTACCTGACCTTAAAGTGCCAGAATTTCAAAAAATTTTAGACATGAAAGTATGAATTATTGATTACTTAATTTATTAAAATTTATTTTATCAAATCACATTTAATTGTACTTTCCATTATTAATTAATATAGGGTTTACGAAAAACGGAACAAGTTCAATTAATGGAGGAGTTTAAACAGCGATTAAGCTTAGATTCTAGTAATGATCAAGCAAGTAATGTAGTATTAGAAAGTCCAGAGCATGAAGCAGGAAGAATAAAGCGATTAGAAAAACTTATTAAGAAAAGAATGTAAAAACAATGCTACTAATATATGTATATCTTGTGTAAAAAACCAGTTTGCTGGGATTTGAAAATTTGTATAAAATATAATTTTATAGAATTGTCTGTTTTTATTAGTAATAAACTTTTTAATAAAAATCACAGACAACATGTATTTAACCTTGCTTCTGTGCCAATTCCTTTGCCTTTGCTTTTTCTAATTTTGCTATTCTTGCGGCAGATTTACTACCAAGTAAACCACCACCCCAGTGACGTCTAATTTCATCATAACGATCATTGAAGTTAGTCTTAATGGCTTCAATGACTTTTGTGAAGTTGGCCCTGTCTCCAGAATCAACCTGAAATAAAAGTATCACAGTTGTAGTATATAGTTCACCAGGTTCATAAAACAAAATATATTAGCCATTAAACAAATCAGAAAGATAGGATTTATGTCACAATCAATCATTGGATTGGCTCTATATTCTTCATCATTTTTCAGTAATTGAAATAAATTTTTTCAAAAGATATATGTGTGTGTATAGTATGCATACCTGAGTGAGAGCCACAGCAGAACAAGTTTTCCTTCTCACCAGACGTCCCAAGCGTGCTTTACCTTTAACAATGCAATAAGGTACACCCATTTTACGACAAAGGGCTGGCAAAAATAGAACAACCTGAAAATAGAATACAAATTGCTTTATAATAACAATAATTTTTTTAAAACATATATAAAACTATTTAACTTATTATAACAAACCTCAATGGGGTCTACATCGTGTGCAATGACAACAAGCTGAGCTTTTTTCTGTTCTACCAAGGTAGTAACAGTATTAGTTCCACTTCTAATAGTGTTTGGTCGTTTAGTTGGTGTATCCTCTTTCTTAGCCACTTTCTCTTCAGCACGGGCCTTTAGCCTTAGCTTTTTAGCAGCAGCAGTTTCTGGCCTGTATTTGTCCAAAATTTTAAATAGCTGAGTGGCTAAAGATTGATAAAATTCAGAAATTTTATTAAAACATTTTTATTATTTTATAATAATGAACTTTAAGCTTGTATTTGTTTAACTCACCAGTTTGCTTATCAAGTGTTTGAGTGAACTGATTGATTGGAGGAGGAACCTTCAATCTTTTTGAAAGAACAGCCTTTTGCCTCTGAATACGAATGTATTTTGGCCATTTGACAAAACGACTAAGATCTCTGTCAGGCTGAATGTCTTGACCTATAGGCAAATAAATTGAAAACACAAATGACCATTTGCTGCACTAAATGTATTAATTAAGCATCATTATTAAATAAGTAAACTTTACCAATGCCGAAGTTGCGAGTGCGTTTCTCGAAAAGAGGATTCGTTTGCTTTTTCGGCTCAACTTTCTTTACCACTAATGGGGCAGCAGCCACCTTCTTTCCAACCTTCTTCTTGGGCTGTAAATCATTATTCCATTAGTCACAATAGTAACCTCGAATAATTTAGAAGATGCTACATTACAATAAAGATAATACTTTGACAAATTAATAAACGATTCAGAAGATAAAAAAAAAGTCTCGTAAAACAAAGCTGAGCTTCTATAAAGTAAAATAGAAGATCACGTGTTATCATTAGGTTAACGTACGGTGCATATTTCAACATTTCATCGAAAAAAAAAACGGTTAATAGTAATAATTTTTTGATCAGTGGAAAAAATATAAATTCGACTTCGAATTAATGCATTTAACACGATAAAGTATAAATAATATACCTTCTTCTGCACCATTTTCTCGCTTAAATATCCGTTACTTTGAGGAGTATTAAGTAAAAAGAGCAGTGCACGTTGTCACAAAAGGCTCTTCCGTCGCCAGCTCCAAAGCTAACATGTCCGGTGATTTTCATAAAGATGGCGGAACCACCTTAAGGTTTTCAAATTACATTATTTCTGTGACAATGTAAATAAATATTATCTTTTTACGAGACAAATTATTGTATAAATATATTTAGGTAATTAATATCAATATTTTCTAAAGATAAAAATTAGCTGATTTTTCATATTTTATTCTGAGTGTGGTATGTTCAGGTATGTCTATTCCAATTTTTAGCTTGTAGATATTAATTTTATTTATATTAAATGAATTATTCACTTAAAATAAAATATGAAAAACATGTAGAAGTACATTGAATAATAACTTTATTGTTATCTTAAGCTAAGAAATACTAAACAGTAATATTACATAGAGTATATATGTATATAATTATATCTAAATAACTAATTTTTATCAACATCTGTATTTTCCAATCTGTCTAAAGTTCTCAAATATAATCAAGATATTTTAAATTTAATTGAATATTACTTTTCTACATTTTTACAAAATAGAGTTGTTTAAATATATTTTTCAATATATATAAAATTAAACACTAAGTTAAATTAAATGATTAAATGTAGCAGTTCTATAAACAAATAATCAAGTTATTTTGTCCAGCTGACTTTAGGAATATCAAAATGCTCTGTTAGACTATCAAGATGTCTGTTGAATTCTTCAACACGTTGCTTATGGGTTTTAGCAGCCTTTTGCTTTATGCGTTCCATTTGCTGAAAAGAATATTATATAACATCAAAGATTGATTATAAATTTTACGTTGTGTCATCTATAATCAACAGATATTAATTTTTCAAATATTAAGTATTGTATACACTGTGTTTCTAAACAAATAGTTTCATGGAATTTTCATCGTATACCAAACGTTACATTCAAAAAGTTTAATGAACATAAACTATAGCTTTAGTATTTAACGAATAAATTGGAAAGTACAAAAATATAATTTACTGTTTTTTCCTTCATTTTTTGAAATGCCATCTCAGCTTTTGTTCTTTGTATTTGTACTTGTTGTTGCCCTTCGGGTTCTTCAACAACTTTTGAAACTTCAACCATCTTCTTAAATTCTTTATTCTTCTTTTTTTTTCCTATAATAGAAATAACAAATGTTAAATATGTTTGTTAATTGAAAGAGGCAGTAAAGATAACAAATAATATTTCAAATATATAGGTTAAGTTAATCAAAACTTACCTTTTACCCGACGATTCAACTCCTTTTATTTTTAAAGGCCCTTTGGCAACATGAGTATATGGGTCGTCGTCATTCGAAGATGGCATTTTAGTATTTTGAAGAATTGTTTGTTAATGTACGTAAGTTAATAAAGTCAACAAACTATAATCTATCTTCCTTCGATAAAATGTCAAGTCAAGCATATAAGCGAGAACAGAAGTGCATCTACTGCGTCTGCGTGTACATACAATCAGCTGCAACAAACGACTGGGAGTTGGCGCCATCTGCAGATGATAAAACCGCGCAAATTTACTTTGCACATTTAAAATTGGCAAAGTTGAAAAACTGATTGTTACGCGTTTCGTTCTTAAGCATTGCTGCATCCATGATCGATCCTCGGTGAATATCCTTCTAAAATATTTCATTTCAGCAGGCGCAGCGCATTTCGTTCATTTATTTCGGCAGTATTTAAACGTTGAATGAAACGCATTAGCGATTCGTCTGAAAAGAAGGTGAGCGGTGACAGACCGATGCAGATGTTTCGGCTAAGCAGCCAGAAACTATGGTAAAGGTAAAGGCACTTCCGAGCTTCCTCGCACGGGCTAAACAAAGCGAATAGAAACAAGGTGGGTTGCAGCAGCAACGCCAAATGACAATGATTTAGATCCAGCTGCCTGTTCAACTAGCGTGAACAACTAAAGTATCAAACCTGAAGCTTCGGCTTGTCGAGCGCGCGATGTTCATACGTCGCAACTTGACTCGGCAAATTACGTCCGCAATTCAGAGATAAGTGCTAATGCACCGCCGCTGTAAAATAATACATCGGCCAATCGATGCATTAAGTAATTCGGCTGGTTTTCAAGACAAATGACGCTCGGTTATATTCCATTCCTTCAATTTTACGCAATTGAACTTTTAATGACACGGCGAACAGGTAAACTATTGTATTGCTCGTGCCTATTTTGATTTAAACATAGCCTCATTGCAATTGTAATCCGCGCGCACGGTAGTGCGTAGGGGCCTCTGGGGATCCCGGTGACTATAATCATAAAAACTATACTCCGCTTATTACGGCCTGCAGCTAATGAAGATGTTGGACTTGCGAACCGCAAATAAAGAGACTGCATCGCTGGATCTCTCTGCTCGGGTGAGATTGAGGCCTTGCAATCAACGAAAATAGAATATGTGTCGTTGTACGCGCGCGCTGACGGATATACACGCGTATCCTTGTTGCGCGCGCGCGCGCGCGGATGCAAAAGACGTCGCCGAATCGATCACTTTGACGCATGACGTCTCGCTCTCGCGCTCGCTTTGCTCTCCGGCGTAATGAGAAAATAACGACCATTTAATTCACATGACTAAGACAAAAGGCGCTGCGCTTAAATTTCGACGCCGATGAAACTGTGATTTTCCGAGTTTCACTTTGGCTTTTCTTAAAAATTGTGCTCCCATCGGACGAGAAAACATATTCCGTGCAATACACGGGAATCTCTTCTTTTCCCCCAACGTCGAAAATTCCAGGACGATCGCCTTCAAATTATTTTGCATTTGTGCATTCGTCTCAACACTCTGTCGACGTAAAACTGATGTCTAGGAAATAATCAAACGATTTTTTGCGCGCAGTGATTAGGTGGAAATATTCCTGCTTGTTTCACGCATACGTGGAAGCTGAGCGTTCGTTTTGTGCGCGCCCATATTTTTTGCCACCCTGCTTCGCCTGTACTGTTTGTGCTTTTTTTTCTCTCTCCTTTTTTCCTCGTCGCCCATTCGACTCGTGCATAATTCACCGCAAGATCTTCGGAGATAATCGATATGGGATTGCAGGGAAGCTCGCTCATTATGAATTTTTATTGGATAAGCCGTCAAACTGCTTGTGATCGCGCTTGATATTTGCGCCAACTTTCGAGAGCGAGACGGTTGTTTACTCCCGAGAATTGGGCGCTGAATTCGCGAACGTGCGAAGAATAAAAATGAATAAACAAATAGACAAAAGTGCTCTCGAAAGAGGATTTTGAAAATTCGAACTCGAGAAAACTTGTAGCGCGATGAATATACATGCTCCGGATACGCGCGCTACCTCATTCTACAATAAATCTCTATCGTTGCCACTTCCAAGTTAGCGCGTCAAGCATTATGTTTCGACGTTATCGTTCGTTCTCCGGCAACAAAGACTGTTTTCATCGATTGGCGCCAACTGCACAGCCGATTCTCCGTGGCATTGTGCGATACGGCAACTGGTTTAGCAAGCATTACCCTGCATTTTTTCCGATGCGCACGGTTTCATTGTTGACGACTTTTCGACCGTGAAATCCGGCGAAGTACAATAAAGACATTAAAACTGAGAAGCAGCGCGTTGTCGCGAATCGTGAGATGAATTCTCCGGGCGTTTAAAGCGGCTCGGGTTCGCCTTTGTATTCTCCGCGATTCCATCATTTGAGATGTTTCTTTCGAGAACAGCGGACGGCGTTCTTTTATTGCATTTTTATTCCGCGCCGCAGACGCGGATTGCATCGACGTGACGATCGGCTGCTTTCCGGCCGAGCAGCCGGATTATCAAAGCCGCGGCTTAGTCACCGCGGGTTTTTACCAAATAAGAATGATCTCTAACTCTTCGACATTGTCGTGGTTCTCGTCGATGATTTGATCGGCGAGGGGCGATGATCAAGGACGCGCTCTCGAGTGCCGACGATGCAGCCGCGCGGAGCCGGAAAGGGCGAGGGAACCTCGAGCTACGCGATCTCGGAGCGATTCGCATATCGCGCGCTGTCGTTCGCTCGCGTATCTGCGCGCTCGGCAGTCGAGCAGAACTATAGGCGAAGGATGTGCTCGCCGAAAACGCAGATCGGCCGTTGCGGAGCCGCCTTCGTAATCGTTGCGCCGATAATCCGAGCGAACGCCCGAGCGCCGACGCCGACTCGATCGGCATATCACGCGTAAAGTAATCGCGCCTTTAGAATGTATATGTAATGGTTGATATGGTCAAGCTAGATCCCGGACAACCTTGGCTTGATGAACTTAACGCCGACAAAATACTTTCAGTTTCGTTTCGCAAACTTTGATCTTCAGGCGCGGATTTCTTCTCCTATTTCTTTTCTTTTTTTTTTTTCTTTTTTTTTACTCTTTGCCTGTATGCCTCGTTGCCGTGTGAACGTCAAGCTCGCACCTGCTATATAATTGACGTTCTAATCGCTTCGATGCCAGAAGAAAAAAAATCGGAATTAGAAGCGACTTTTTTTTCATGAAAACAAGCTATTGAATCATCGATTACGCAAATTACGCTTCGAATTTTAATAATACGCCGACGTTGAATTTTCGCTTCAGAGTCGGTCGATCGACAAAGCTATATTGACAAAGGCGATCCTCGCGCGGAATATTTAAGTGCACGCTCGATATTTACGCATGTGCCCGTGTGTACAGTGGCGTTGAGCACCGCCATATTTTTACATATGCCTATATATAACTGTGTGCCATATATTCTTGCCGAACAGACGCATAGAAAGTTAACTCTTTCGATAGCCGTCTTTTTTTTTTCTTGTTCGAAATATGTTACGCATGCAAGAATGCGCACGCAATATAGGAGCTCTTATGCTTTGGTTGTAGCGCTGAATTTCAGATATATTTGTAACGCATTTCTACCCGCACGTCGTTAAAAACTTCGGTTGTTAATTTTTATTGCGAAAAATATTCAACTTTCCGTCAATTCCTTTTCCGTCCGAACTGACTCGCGAACATTCGAGTCCGAGCACTCGTTGCAGGCGCGCGAGAATCCCTTTTGCGAAAGCAAAGAGCAGCGAAGAAACAGAAGAAGAAGAGAAGATACTGAAAGGTAGAGTGCGTTGCATCCGCGGCCGTTTAAATGTCTCAAGGATAAAATAGTCGCCGTACGCACTTGCAAGTAGCGCCCGAGAATGCGAAAAAAAAAAGAGAAAAAAAAAAGGCACGCGTCACGTGGAACGTTCGCGTGAAAATCGGCCGAACGCACGTATTTATCTAGTCAAACGTCACGAATGCGAAAAGAGGGAAAGAAAAAAATCATAACAACGACAAGCAAAATAAAATCGGAATTCGGCGAGTGCAATTGTCAAAGTCACCAAGTCGGCGCGAGGGCACGACCGACCGCCGATTACCGCCGATTATCGATATGATATAATTGCCAATCCGCGACGATTCTGGCAACTTGCTGACTTGGTAGCCGCGCGCGGTAAACGAGAAGGCGGAGTAGAGGGAGTAGGCTGTTTGTGTATGGTTCGCCAGGTCGTCGGCTGAGAGCAACGAGCTCGGCAGCTGCGCGTCCTTGAGCCAACGAGATCGCGATGGCACGTCGCTCGGCGTGCACTTCTTTTTCTCTCCGTTTCTTTTTTTCGTTTCTCGCGAGCCTGCCGTCGACGTTAAGGAGCGCGCTCGGGCCAACGAGCGGGAGTGCATGGTCCGGCGCGCTGCAGAGGTCAGGGAGTCCGCGCGTTCGGGAAACGGGTCTCGGCGAGACGCACGGTCTCATGGCAAAGTCGAGCCCGCGAATACACGAGCCGCCGAGGCGATTATCGAGATCCGTCCGTGATACGGAATTTTTCGCGTTGACGCAATTGTTACCGATCAAATATTCAAATGGGCTTGTCTGCGAAACGGACAAACAGGAAGCTACGGCACTTTGATTTATTGGTATTATTTTTTTTCGTCTCTCTTTGCCGAGATCGACGGCGATCACGGCGACGAGGACCGCGAGGTAGTTGCGTATCCCGGTCTTTCGGCGATTTAATCGCTCTAATCCGCTAGTTAGGTCTGACCGCTACGTTGTTGCTCGCTTAGCAAGGTCGCCAACGCGCCGCTCTTGCTTGGCATGTACTCCGAGCGGCAGGTGTCGATGCTCCCGTGCGCGCGCGTTTCGACGACACCTTGAACCGCGACTCCTCCGCAAGCTCTCGACTTGGCGCTCGCGGTCCCCGTCTAGGGGATATCGTTCGGAATAGAAAACGACCAGGCCAACTCGACTCCGCATTAGAAAACAATGCAGGCATTTTTATCGATAGGAATGCACTCGCCAATCGTTTCGTCGTCGTCGTCGTCGTCGTCGTCTCTCTCTCTCTCTCTCTCTCTCTCTCTCTCTCTCTCTCTCTCCATATCGCTTTTTTTCTTTTTTTGCCGCTCGCGTGTACGTACGCGCGTGCTTTATAAACGCCGGATACGGACCAGGAAAATGAGGGAACGAAACAAGTGCAATTTCGCAGTAAATAACCTTTCGAGGTCTCCAGCGAGCACTTTTACTTTCCAATCGCGCTTGCTCGCCCGACGCTTCTCAGTCTCTTTCTTACTTCGTGCATTATCGCGTCTAATATCCTTCGTCGACGCACCGCTTCCCGAGCTCGCGCCTTGCGATCGGGGTTCCCCGTGCGAGCCGACCACTCGTTGCCGCTGCAGCAGTGGCTCGTGCGCTCGATTTGTCAGTGAAGAGGCGAGAAACGAAAAGGAAGAGAGAAACAACAGAAACGAGCTCGCGGAACCCGATCGAGTACCGGGAGGAGTCAAACAAGGCCGTTGCTCTCCGCGGGCCGCTCGGGAAGACACAAAGGATGCAGGAATCTTTCCACGCGACGACACGCGCACGTCCGCATCCTCGGCCGTTCCAAGGCGTTGTGCATTAATCGACGTATGATTATAGAGAGGCGGAGTAAAAATGCGAGAGACGAAAAGAAGGAAAAAAGAAGGAAAAAAGAAGGAAAAAAGAAAGAGAGGGAAAGAGAGAGAGAGAGAGAGAGAGAAAGAAACCAGAAAAAGAAGATAGGAGACGGATCTTTAGCGAGAATAGCGCAGAATAGACCGGCTGGCCTGGAGGATTCCCGAGAGTCGGTCCGACTGGTGGCTCGCTTCCGTCAATGACGCCAGACGTCAACGGACGGACCGCGCGCAACTGGAAGATTCCCCAGGCGAATTTTCTCGCGGTCGAGAACACCGTGGTGCCGCGCTCGAGGCGTCCGCGCGTTTTACCTTATCTTTCTCTCTCTTGCTCTCGAAATCGTTGTCCGATTCTGTTGTCCCCGCGAGCGGCCGGCCATGTAACGCACGCGCGCGCGCGCACGGCCTGTCGCAAGCCAGGATTTCAGGTCGAATACATTTGGAGAGCTCGCGGGCCCGATCGAAGGCGCGAAATTAGCATACGCGCGCGCCTCGACCAGGAAAGAGCCTTACCGCGCGAGGATCGGCGCAACGGTCGCGCCACGGGGACCCGTCCGAGGCGAACGGTACAGGCGCCTCGACGAATATTGCTTTATTGTGGTAACGGCAGTGCGCGCGTGGGAAAGAAATGGCGCGCGCGCGCGCGCGAGAGAGAGAGAGAGAGGGAGAGAGAGAGAGAGAGAGAGAGAGAGAGAGAGAGAGAGAGAAGGGTTGGGCAGCGCGCGAGTGGGGCCGCGGAGCGCGCGTCGCGAGGGTGCAGCGCGCCAGTGAGAGGGAAGCTGGCGGTGGCGAAAGACCAGGCCGACGTCCGAGGAGAGCTTTTGACGAGGCGCCGCGCGCAACGCCCATATATAAGTGCGCGCCGTGCGCGAAGCGCCTTCAGTCAACGGGCGGACGAAGAGCGGAGCGCGAGGGACGACCATTCGATCTCGCCGCGCGCCCACAAGCGAGACGCTCACCGCGGGGGCAACAGGCGAGCCAGCGCCCGTGCAGCATCCGTAGCCGAGCCTCGCGGCCACGTTCCCGGCCAGCCAGTAGCCAGCGTGAGTACTCGCGAGCACCCGCGTTCGCGGCCCACGCGCGCGACTTGTGTTTGTCAACATTAGGCCGGCGGCCTACGCCTGTGCGCGCGAGCGCGACGCAGTTCGCCGCCGGCTCGTCGATCGCCGAGGCGATTTCGCGATGCTCTTTGTCCGCGGATTTTCGGCGGGAGCCTGGAAAACGGCAGCGGCACGGCGACGCTTACCGATCCCAGTGATTTTCCTTTGCGACACGCAAGATCGAACGTTCAGCCGGAGCCGAAACATAACCGAGAGCGAGAGGTAGAGGGAAAACGAGACGAGCGGTGCTGGCAGACGACGCGGACGAACGTAAATTCGTTAGAACGCACAGCGACAGAGCCGATAACCCTAATGAAGCATTGCCATAAATTTTACGTGGCCGTGCGCGCGCGCGTGTGTGTGCGCGTTGTGCCAAGAGGTCGAGCGAGCGCGCAGCGGAGTTCGACGGATGGAAGTTGCTTAGGCGAAAGAAGAAAAAGAAATAACGAGAGAGAGAGAGAGAGAGAGAGAGAGAGAGAGAGAGAGAGAGAGAGAGAGAGAAAGGAGGTAAAAATCGGAGATAGAGAGAAAAGCAGCGACGAGGCCTTGTCCTCGAAGCGAATTGGAGGCTTTTAGCAAACAGTCATTAATTGGTTTGGCTAGTCGCGCGGCCGGATGTGCGCGCGCGCGCGAGGAGGGAGAAAGGAAAGGAAAGATCGCTGCGAAGGTGAATCGGCGCGCGAGGATCGAGTGCAGCACGCGCGAGCGCACATCGCGGCTGTGGATTGCATCGCGCGGACCTCCTTCCTTCCTTTTTCTCTCTCTCGCGTGCGCGCGCGGGCAATTAGCGCGGCGCGCGCGCGCGCGCTGCGACGAAACCGGCCGTGGGAAGGGGGCAGCATTCCCGACTAATGTCGACAACTCGATCGCCGTGCGTTCTCGTCGGCGCGCGGCTAGTCCCCTCGAAATTGTCGGCGCGTCGTTTCGCCGAGTGTCAACATCGGTTGGGAAACGAGACGGCGCGCAGGACCCGCGGAGGAGGTCGCGGGCAAACAGCGCGCAGGCAATTTTGGAGAACGGCTCTCTCTCTCTCTCTCTCTCTCTCGGACTCTCCGGCGACGCGCGGAATACATTAGCCGGAGAAGGCCGCTGGCTCCGCGAGTGGATCGATTTGTCGAGCGGAGGAAAACTGGCTGTTGCAGATGGCGCAATACGCGCGAATGGCCTACGACGGCTATCGAGACCTGATGGACAACAAGAGCGATCCCAGGGTCAACGACTGGTTCTTGATGAGCAGTCCGCTGCCCACTCTGGCGATCTGCCTGGGCTACGCCTACTTCAGCAAGGTGCTGGGGCCCAAGCTGATGGAGAACCGCAAGCCCTTCGACCTGCGCGGCCTAATGATCTGGTACAACCTGTTCGAGGTGATCTTCTCGGCGTGGCTGTTCTACGAGGTGGGTTGTCGTCGCGCAGGCGCCGAGCGAGCGGCCGGCGGGTCCGCGCTCGGGGCCAGCCGCTGACGGCGCCGGGCGCTGTGCGTTGTTCCAGTGCCTGGTGTCGGGCTGGCTGAACGACTACTCGCTGCGGTGCCAGCCGGTGGACTACTCGCGCAGCCCCAAGGCCATGCGCATGGCCAACGGCTGCTGGTGGTACTACGTGTCCAAGTTCGTCGAGTTTGCCGACACCATCTTCTTCGTGCTGCGCAAGAAGAATGACCACATCTCCACGCTGCACGTGATCCACCACGGCATCATGCCCATGTCCGTGTGGTTCGGCGTGAAGTTCTCGCCAGGTAAGCGCCCCCTCCCCCGAGGGGCCGGCCGTGCCCGCGACTGAGCCCCGCGCGCGCTGCTTGCAGGCGGCCACAGCTCCTTCTTCGGCCTGCTCAACACCTTCGTGCACGTGGTCATGTACTCGTACTACCTGCTGGCCGCGCTGGGCCCGCGCGTGCAGCCCTACCTCTGGTGGAAGAAGTACCTGACGCTGCTGCAGATGCTGCAGTTCGTGCTGGTCATGCTGCACGCCTTCCAGCTGCTCTTCGTCGACTGCGACTACCCCAAGGCCTTCGTCTGGTGGATCGGCATGCACGCCGTGCTCTTCTACTTCCTGTTCCGCGACTTCTACCGGCAGGCCTACAGCAAGCGGCTGCGCCTGGCGCAGGAGGCCGCGGAGCGCAAGCGCCGCGCCGAGGCGCGCCCCCCCGACGGCCCCGTCTACCCCCCGGGCCAGTACAAGATGGCCACGGCCTACATCTCCGGCGGCGGCCTGCGCAACCGCGCCTTCATCGACAACCAGTCCTCGGGCAGCTGAGCGCGCGCGCGCCGCCCCGCGCCCGCGGCCCTTCGCCCCCGCTGCCGGACGGCGCGCGCCCGGCCCGCTCGCCGAGGGGGCCACTCGGCGCGCGCGCGCAACGCCATCTCACGCGATGAACGAGTGCCAAAAATTAATCTTTAAGTCCCGAGTGAATTTGTACATTTTACCGATAGATAAGCGCACCGTGCCTTCCCATCCGCGAGCAGACCCCGCCACCGCCGCCTCGTTTTCCTCTCTCTTCCTTTCCTTCTCTACATCTTGCCTTCTTATGCATTGTGGAGCGGCATTCATATATTTATTTGTTTCTCTTGTCACGGTATACTTCGCGCGTTCCCTGACAATCTTGTACGCGAGTTATGGACTATCGTTATTGTTTAGTGATTAAAACTTTTTTTTTAGCCGATACAGATTATTCTATTTTTACCATGTATTCACATGTTGTTTTTAGGGCCAAATTCATATTTTACGCATTATATATGTGATTATTATTTTTTTTTTTATTAAAACAGTTACTGACTTTTAAGAGAAACCCTTGTTGCGTCATTTGTCCTTCGATGCCATTCACCTAGCAAATGTTCGACGCTATTTTCCTCCGATCTCGTCTATATGCTTCGCTATAGCAGCTTTAATGACGCGCATATTTGCCCGAAGCGCCTCTTCGCGACGAGCCAGCATCAAAACACTTTGTCAATTTTGCGCGCCGTGCTCTCGAAAGGATCGGCAAGGTTCGAGCGCAGAAGCGAAGCAAATGTCACGTTGATCTTAGTCGCAGTCGTACGAATACGAGGGACACGCTCGCATACGTGTAGTTTGAATTGCAAAACTGTGGCTCGTTAGTATCGGAATTCATAATGGAGAGGCCGCTATTTGTGTACATTTTTAGTGTTTGATCGAGATGACAGCTTTTAAGATTTTTGTAAATAGACGCTCTATCAATATTTGCCAAATTTGTCGATCGCGCAGCACGAGAGCGAAGGCTCGCTACGCCGATTGCCATGCATGTGTCGAAGCGACGTTTTCATACGCCTGGGCTTCGCGGGTCACATCGATAAAAACACGTCCGAGCCATCGCTAACAATTTTATTGCTTTACCGATCGGAATGCTTACCGATTTGCCGCACTCCGAGTCCTTTGCTCGTCGCCGGTACAGCAGTATTCCGGACCGTCTGCGCCACTTTCCTTATCCGCCAAGGTGTGTAGATGGAGCCTCTAACACGTCGGCTTTGTTTCCAACCTTCTGTCGCACGGTATAAATACACCGTACGCCGATCGTGCACCGATGTCACGGAACTCCGTAGCATTCAGAACCCATTCAAGCTTTTTCGGTATGCTTTCAAAAAAACAGTTTGTCCACCTGTTTAATTTCGTTCGATACTCACCATCGGATTAAATTCTTGCGTTTGCGCAAAAATCACTTTCCGAGTCGACGTGACAATAATTGATTGCCAATAAAATTCTATCTGCAACGCCGGATCAAGTCAACTGTCGGCTGTAGCCTATCTGATTACTGTGTTTGCCTTGGTTGAGCAACGGACTTGGACTTTATTCCCTTATTGCATAACGCATTATTACGTATACTTTTTCAATAACAAAATTCGGGCCGAGCTATAATTGCAAGTGCGTTCATAAATCTCAGCGCCCCCCCCTCCCCAAATTATAGATTTGTTGAATCTTAGAAATTTTGTCTAGAGCTATGGAGAAATGGTTTTCCAAATTTTACACACTTAGACGAAGTATACAGTTGGCTTGCAAAGCTCTGCAAAGCCAATGCTCGTTGACATATAAGCACAATAGCGAGCCCAGATTGCATGAACTTTGCGACAGCGATAACCTATGAGTAATTGCGATTATTAAAAATTTCCATTTTCACGGCTTCAATAATTGCAAGTGCAACAATCGTAAATTGTTGCATTACAAAGAATTGCCTAATACGTCGATATTTCAAGCTGTCAGGGAAAAGATAAAATTTCGGCAGGCGCCGAAACCAAGTCAATTTTCTCACATTCAATGATTAAATCGCAGTGCGCTGCACTTATCGTTTGACGCTTCATCACCTATTTATATTTCCAGACTTTTCATGACTTTGTAAGGAACGGCTTTGAGAGCCGCGAGAAAAGAATTTATAATAATATTGATTTTCTCGGAGTATGAATACGTCACTGCTGCCGCATTCACTTTTAAAAAGTTTATTTCATCTGACGTTTCTCATCATCTTCGAGAGATTTCCGAAACGTTATTGAGAGTCGCCAAGGTATTTTAATAAAAATTTTTATGCCATCTAATTAACTCAACATTGGAACTAGATAACACAGAAATCGGTAGGGGTGTCAAAATCAATGCATGGAAACCGAAACGAAGACAATTGATCAGTGGAGAAATTGTGGAACGGCCTAAGCAAATTCAGAATTGATATGTACAAAGCGTATCGTACAATGGAATCGCAGGTGAATAAGGAAGCTATCGCCCGTCATTGTGAATAATTATGGCTTGTAAATTGCGCTGCAGCGCAAATACATCGACAGCTCGATGACAATGAGCCGGGTAGCTAATAAAAGTTGGCGTCATTCCGTTTGCGCAAAAGACAAAAAGAAGAAGTGACAGAAAGAAAGGAAGAGTGGACCGTGAAGAGTTGACTGACTGGCGTAATCGCAAACTGATTTGGGAAAATTCCTTGAAAATGCGCGCGCAAAATATTATAATTTATACGTTACCGTTCTTTGAAAATAAAGTGACGCACGCGCGAAAAAAGCAAGAAGGGAAAAAAACGTTCATGAAATGCAAAGAGGCGCTCGTTTGCCAAAAGTAAATTTTCGAACGGAGCGCGCGGCTTAAAGGAGGATGCAAAAAAGAAGGAGAAAGAAAAAGAGCGAAGGAATCTATTGACTAAGACGAGTAACCGTGAGTATGCGACGCGACAAATTCTTGAAACAGTGAAAGTGTGCGTGCGGGCCTTGGGGCGAAAGTGCGAGGTGGCGATGTAATCACGGCTTATCGACACTTCGGCTCATATCTGAGCGTACACTTAGCGACGTCGCGTTCTATTAACGCCCGATCGGCACTGCGAATTGTTTCGTCGATTTCGGGACACGAGCCTTTGCAGATGAACTGTGCGCTCAGCTGCTTCTCGGGGCGCGTTGCGTTGCCTGGATACCGAGTGAAAACGTGGATTGCCCGGAACAAAATTGAACATCGACGTATGGTTTAGCTTCGCCGGTACACAGTGTGTTGCCTAGCGACCTCGACAGCGTCCACTTTTAATGAACTTTCTTTTTAAAATATTAGCGAACGGAATACGAAAGCTATGAGTATACAACATAAAAAGAAGGTTTTCGCGTTTCTTCATCTATGTAAAAATGATAGGAGGTAAAACGAGCTTGAACTGTCATAGACCAACAATGCGTTTGGCTGCAACGGTGAAATACAAGGAATCGGAAAGGAAAAGGGAGATAATAATTGACGATCTCAAACCGATTTTCGCCACTTTGACGAAGGTTGACGCTGATCAAGTGGGATTCGCAAATGCAAAATTTCGTATGCGCGCGCCGAATTGGGACAACTGGCCGACCAAATGATCCGATTCGCACGGATTGCGCGGATATGACGTCTCGCGCGACACGGCGGCCTCTCGTCATCGAAGCGAAGACACGCGGACAAAAACGAGCCGGCGTCGCGTCGAAGGGGCAGTCGCGCGCAAAGGATGCGCGGCTACATCCCGTACAATTATTTTTCGAAAGAGTCGAAGAAGAGCTATTCGCGGATGGGTTCGCGCGCGTACGATCGAGCCTCGTCGACGGATTGCGCAATGGCGGTCGCGCGCGCTCGCGGACAAACGACGCGAACCTGTCGTAACACGAGGAAAGTGATGTAAATCGGAGCTCTCGCGCGGAGAGATGATGATATGACGGATGAGAATCAAAGACGAGCGAGAGAGAAAGAGAGAGATGGAGGAAGTGACAAGTGTGTCAGTATGGAAACGAGCAGACTTCGGCAGATCAGGCACGATTAGCATCGAATCGAACATTGTGTCATAATAGCGCGGCCGCCGCGGCTCGACATCGCAGAAGCGAATCCGCGAAGAGACCTCGCGCGCCTGGGTCATCTCAGGCTACAGCGGAGTTGCATTGGCCGAAAAAGTCGCGCCGCGCGTGCCCAGCTCGCGAGCCAGCCGCGAGACGCGCCGCTTTCGCCGCACCGCGAATCCGATCCGAGCGTCCGTCGTCCCTCTATCTCTCTCTCTCGCTGACTGCTCGCGGGGACGGAGGTTGCGCAAATTGACATAGCGCGGCCGCGGTCCAGTGCCGCCGCTGTAACGCGCTTCCAAATTCCAAACGCTCGGCCCTTCGAAATTCGCACGCTTTCTCGCCGAGTCATCGTCGCGCGCCGACAAGGACACGCGAAACGAGATCTCACGTAAGGCCGATCGACCGAAGTCGCTGCGTCCGCCGGGGAATTGCGAATCGGCAAATGGCCATTTCCATTTCTAGAAAACTATGAACATTATAAAGCGGCGCAGCTGCGCGCTGCCGGTGGTGCGATGGCCAATCGGTCTAGTAGAAAATCGAATGGCCGACGCGCGGTCAGGTCTCAAGGTCGCCGTCGAGAAAGATCGGCGCTTCGTAGAAGACCGGGGGGGGGGGGGGTGGAGTGGTCCAGCCCCTCGCTCGGGTAGACTAGGCGCAACTCGCGTGTCGCCAATTTCCCCGATCCCGTTCGCTTCGGGATGGTGCGCACCGCGGGCACCGCTGTCGCAACGCGAAATATCGGCCGATTTCACTCCGCCGATTGTCCGCGGTGCGCGTGTCTAAACGCAGGCGGCGTTCCGCCTCGTTTCGCTGCCAATGTCACGGCTCCGCGATCGCACCGATTATCACCGTGGCCGAAAGCGTTCTCGCGGGCACGGCGCGCCGACGAACGTGTGCGACTCTTGAGGTAGCAGCCCTGTTTCGCGCCGATAAAATCCTCGGACCTCGTCCGGTCCTTCGTCGCGCTTGCCGCGCGTAAGGTTCTCTGGCGTTCTTTCAAAGGACATTCGATGCCGGACTCGGTCAGAAGACGGACGACGACGAGAACGTTCGTAATGGAATACCGATAAAGATGTTCCGAACAACTTATGTAAACCGAGTATTTTCAATTCAAAAGTGTTGAATCCAGTTATATATTGCAAGCAAGGTTCAATATTTATTCCTGTGATACGCGATTGCGGCTGTAGCCACGTTGTAATAGTACAGCAGATAAGGCCAAGAATCGATGCTGAAGAAACAATCGCCGCTCGCTCAAACAGTGCATGCTCGACTTTATTGCTGTAGGATTAGAATAACGACAAACCGAATAATTAGGCGATGCCATTAGACGCTTAGAATACTAACGAAGGTGGTGAAAACAAGTAAATAGCTGAGCATTAACTGCCTCTGAAAAAAAAGCATTATAAGATGATTGCAGGTGAGATTGAGATGTTAAAGCGTGCAATTACACGCGAAAAAAATCCATCTGAAAGCTGAGCTGGAAAAATGTTAATGGGAAAAGCTAAGTGGAGTGGATTTTCCGTTGCATAATGTTTGTCAGCGTGCCGCGCGAGGAAAAAAAATTGATCGCGCTTTTCGAAGTGCACGCATATATAACTATGCGAGGACGAGAGCAGAAGACGGAAGCGACGCGCGCCTGCGCCCTAGACGCCCGGCGCGCGCGCGCGCGAGAGAGAGACAGAGAGGAGAAGAAAGTGGCTGCTGAAGTGTAGGATAGGAAGGCGATGCCATGACAGCAGCATTGGCGGAGTTGCTAAACGCGAGAGCGAAGTAAACGAGAGAGCCAACGAAGGAATAAATACAAGCGCAAGCTACACACGAGCGAGAAAGCGGAGCTGGGCAACGGCGACGGCAAGTGTCGCACGAAACGAGGCGAAAGGAAACGCAGGAATACTGCTAGCTACGTGCAAGTCCGTAGTGCGCCGTAACCTCAGCGGCGGCAGCATCGAGCGCGAGTGCGAGCGGAGTCGAGAAGCGGAGCCGAGAACTGCCGAAAGGAGGAGGTGGCGTAAGAGGCGGCAAGAGCGGCATAACATCACGTTCCGCCAGTCGAGTGCGAGCAGTGCCAGAAGTAGGTAGTCAGCAAGCAGCGGCAGAGCAGCTGTCTGTGTTAGGCCGAAAGCGAGCCAGATCCGAAGAGCGAGGAAGTGCCCGCCGGCCGGCCGGCCCTCTGCCAAGCAGTGCTCCGCAGCACCAACTGCAACTAGTGCGAGCTCGCGGGGAGCAGCGCCCTAGCAGACGACGCGCCGCGCGCGATTATCGCTCGTCGCCCGCATTAGTCACTGTCAGCTCGATCCGCGTTGGGCGGATCCTCCACGCACCTCGTCGACGCGGATGTCCGATCGCTCGCGCTGCCGCCGCCGCCAACGCCGAGCTCGCTGTCGCCCAGCCAACGCCAGTTAGCAGCTCGCTATCGCCGCTCTCGCACAAGGCAGCTGATGAGATTGCCCAGCTGACAGGCGCGCGCACATCCACGCCAACGCGAACCCAGCCGAGAGGCCAAGACCCAGCAGCAGCCGCCGCCGCCGCGAGAGGGACAGAGAGAGTGCGCCGCCTAAAACGCACCGACAATAGTAAGCAAGCGGCCAGCCAATCAATTGGGAGGTTAGGAAGAACGCCATCACTCTCGGCTAGCGCACGCAGCTCTGCAGACCAGGTGGGTGTAGTCCCGTATTTTCCGCGTTCGCTTGATACATGTGCCACGCTGCTTTTCTCCATTCTCCCATCAGCGCAACGCCAATCGCTCGTGCTTTGCCAATTGATAACGTACGCGAGTCTTCCGCGGAATAAATATTGTTTCTCTTTCTCTCTCTCCGTTGAGGGCCACGGCCGACGCACAGACGCACGTGCCGAAAGCCACCTACTGCTCGCAATCCTCGACGGGCCGATTGCCCGTAATAAAGCGTCGGCAAGTTTTGCAACCTGCCGATAACGCGAAGGCTCTCAACTTTGCTCTCGCTCTCGAAACTTTTGCCGTATCACGCTGTAACTCGTGTAAAATGGAGATCTGTCGGAGCAACACGGTCGCCTGTACTCGCCGGGGATAGACGGTGCTCGTTTGGAGGTTGGGATCAGAGACTAAACAACTGGCGAATATTAGTGGCATTCAGGGTCGAATCGTTTGATCCGCGTGCTGCACTGCGTGCAGCGCTCACGTACGCGCGCGCGCCCATGTATATACGGGAGACAGAAACACGGAGTCGGAACGGTATGCGGAGCCTCTTTTGGCGGGACTAGCCGTTATCCGTACTCTACGCTAGCTGTGACAGCCGGCACGCGACCACACGGCACCGAACAACACCAACTTACATTGTCTGGTACATTGTGGTGTTTGGACTTTTTCTCGTGCTCACCGATCAAAGCGCCCATTAACGCTTCTGATTATTTGGTTTGTCCGCCGTTCGCGAAAGACCAGCTACTGCTCGTCACCGCAATACCTGCATTTTTATTAACAATATTCTCCGTATTCACCATTGTAATTTCGACGACTAATCGCCCAAGGTCGCACGAATAAGCACCAAATAATTGCACCCGAGAAATGCTATTTAGCCAAAGTATTATCAGCTTATTATTGAAATTATTAGTGGATGTCACCTCGAGTTCGTGTTTAAATTGCCTTCGCGAACAAAATGTCGATAGATACGATGAAAAAAATAATCGTACGTTACTTAGAACTAAAACGCAAGTATTCCTGCCATAAATAGTTAAAATTATCGAAGCCAAGGTAAGACTTCGCACCATCAATGCTTAATAAATATTTCACGTGCAAACATTTATTAAATTATTAATTTTTTATCAGAACTGACTCGCGAAATTTCAAACTACCTGCCGTAGAGTAGTTTTGATTTGAATCGCTTATTAACATGAAATGATTTATTCATATTAGCTTTGTTTAAAAACAGCATCTACATTATTTACCATTGTATTAAATAATTAACCGACTTATAGGTCGAATGTCAATGAGATTTTCTGTACAGGTGTATAATGTAAAAAATAGATAAGAAAAAAAAGAAACCGACAAGAGAAGCTTTGGCTGTGCGCAGTTGTGCTGCGCAGGGTGTTAATCTAAAATTAAAATAGCCGCGAAATTTGAATGTAAAAATTATGTCTTACAATGTTTGCTTGTCTGAAAACTCAATGATTATTCATAACGTAATAATATATCACAGCTTATTCAACATCTATTGAGAAATGTTATATTGGATAAATCCTGTTCCAAAATCAAAATCATCCGGAATTAAGCAACTTTGAATTTTGCGGGAATTCCAATTTTTATGACTCATTAAGATGCGCGCGATTTCTATTTGAGTATAATTAGACGAAATTCTCCTCTATCCATCTCTCCATGTCAGAATGACTTATGTCTTCAAATGGCTGTTGAATTTTATGACGCCAGATGCAATCGATAATTGCAATGATTGATGGACAACTTTCTAGATGTATCCGCAATGTCAAACTAATTAGAATAGTTTTTATAAGCTGATTGTTCCATTCAACTTCCTTATAATGCATTTTTTTCTACGTTAATTCGTGACTTTTATTTGCAGGTGAATGCAACCATTTTTTACTATATTCTTTGGTAAATGAACTTTACAGTAACAAAAGTACCTATTTTCGCATAAACCTTCATAAATCAAGTGATTAACCGGAAGAAGCATTTTTTACGATACGTTGTTTATTGTAGAACAATGAACGCAACTTTCACCTATCCATTTCTTTTTCTTCATAATTTGGATAATTTATAATTATTACTGTCTATCTTTGCTAGACACCGTATACGTAAAATGTGGTACAATGGAAGCTGAAACTTGTTTTGGTCTTTTGATATTCAATTTATTCACTCTACAAAAAGTGTAATTATATTTCCATCTTACGATGCACTTGTCAAATAGACGTATGAGAGTCGCAGGTCGAGCATCATCATCTCGAAAAAGGAATTCGCATGCGCCATTGCAAAGTGGTCATTTATTTCGAATAATTTTTACGCGTCAGACTATTGATTCAATGATGCAAATGCACGTAAAACTCGTTAGCGTCTTGGTGACGTATCAAACTTCCAGGATTCTGCTTTGTTATGACGTCAAGCTATATTTCTCGAAACTGTTCAACGCAATGTCTTAAAAGTTCCTCAAAATTCATAAGAAAACAATAGGTTTACTCGTTTACATTTACTAATGTTCAGCTCGATTATTATTTAAAAAAATGTAAAAAGATACAAAGGCATTGGTCATTTTCAGTTTGAAAATCTCACTGACGTGTGCGTGGAAAAGACAATCCTATCGCGTACTTCCAAACTTGTTTATCCTAAAACTCGGAAACAAGAACAGTGTTCCAAACATCCCGAATTCCTGTTTCATACATTAATCTGAATTCAAAATTTATGTGCATATTTCACGAGGTAAAACCATTTTTAGAAAAGTAAGATAATATATTTTTAAATTCGAAGTGGCTATTTATCATCCTAATTTTTATAATCGTCCAGTTTACGTTCGTATTGTTTGTGAAAAATGTTTTTTTTTTTGGTAGTACATTATTTTACGTAATAAATAGGTTTACTGATAGCGGGTGTGCCAGCAAAACGAGTTTGTAGAAACACAACATTGTTTTCCCTTTTCCAATGAACTAGTTGAAGAACAAAAAATTATGAAAATAAAGAAATACTAGTTTGAAATCGCAACATTCACAGGCAAACGTTAGAAAGTCTGAAAGAACTAAATATCATTGTACATTTTCGAAAAATTCTGCGCGTTTCCGAAACTTGCGTTTTTCACTTTTTAAAGCACATCGCTGACAGCTGTAAGTACCTCCGAGGTGTAAAAACGGTGATAGAGGCTTTTTAGGAGCTTTTATCTCACAACGAATATGCGTCTGTTTCTGGCTTATGTAACTTAATGTTGACCTACTTCCAATCTTACCTACTATCACTTTTTGCGACTGACGCGTATTTCATGAACTTCCATAAACACTACGCGGATAGCAATATGTAAAATCATATATTTGTCGTCAAACTAAAAAAAAACTGAAATATTAATGAGCTCAGGTATCAAACGAACTAACGTTTGTCATTAACTTTCCTTTGCATTAGTAATACTAGTAGACATTTTTCCTGCAAGTGTTAAAGCTTTCCGGACGTATGAATGTCCGGTTGTTCAATGACCTTCGTGGTTTTCACAATATCGCATGTTTACAATTAGTGATATACTAAAAATATATTTTCAGCCTTACTATTCATTGAGCGTTGAAAGTAACAGGCCATCTAAATTTTTTTTCAAATATTCTATTTTTCTATACTATACAGTAGTTCGCTGGCTATTGTCGTCATCAAGCGCAGTATTTTTTTACTAACACAAACAGTTTAGATTTTGACTCCGAGGGGACTGGCCTCTCGGTTTATTCAAGGAAATATTTTTTCAAATGCTATTTTAAGAACGGCTTTGAGGTATCGGGTGAATCAACGCTCGGCCGCGGCGCATCTCGTCGAGCGTCGGAAGTACAAAACTGATAATTCGATCGATGGCAGGCCGTTCTTACGGGACACGTACGTCAAAAATTTGCTCTCTATGTGGGTCACTCGAGGATAACAGTTACGATCCAAGCTTGCGCCGATTCGAAGTCGCCCATTGCGCCCTCGTCGCGGGCTTATCGCGCGGGAAGCTCGTCAGAATTTCGCCAATGCTAAGTGGGTCGCGGCAGTTGTGGAGCACTGGGTAGTAAAAAAAAAATCAAACTCAGAAATGTAGACATTCGGAGAAAGGCCAAGCCGAAACTTTCTACGGCCATATGTACATAAAGCCTACGTAATACTTTGCCAAAACCGATATGAAGTTTACGTAAACAATTAGCAGGCGTAACTTTCGGATTTCACATTACTCAATCTCGCTTTTTCTCGGCGCGTACTCACGATGTTTAATATTCTATGAGCGCCGTAATTAATGCTAATCGCTGCAGCAACGACGCAAAACGTACGATTGTTGCTTTCATTGTTTCGCTATGCCTTTCAGATATCGATCAAGATGACGAGCATCGTGGCGACGCTGATCCACGGTTACAGGGACATGATGGACAATAAGTCTGGTAAGTCTAACGGTAACGATTTTTCGACTATCGCGGAAGATCTAATTAGAGTGCGCGTCTTCGAAACGTAATGCCTCTTTGAATAACGGGACGTACCGGCGATCGAGTCGAGCGAGCGAGCGAGCGAGCGAGGAGGCCGACTCCGCGCGAACTCACTCTCGGCGAGAGGATTCGCAGCTCCGGATTATTCCGAGGTATTTCGAAGTGTAACGATTGCCGCGATGATTCGTTTCGATGAGCTAAAGGATAAAGCGAGGGTACAATCGGTCGGAAGAGCGTGTGCCGCTCTCCTCGGCGCTTTCACTGCGACTGGATTTGCAAGCTCCGACAAAGCGCGCGGAAAGGGGGATGGGGAGGAGGATGAGCGAGGCAGAGGCGGCCGTAAGAATCGAGGTCTCTCGCACGAGAGACGCCGCGGAGCTATTAGCTTGCGGCTGCTTTTTGCCAGTCGAGGCGCACGTAATATCTTTTGCAGGCGCCTCCGATGCTCGGCGATCGGGCCGCCGCTCTGTGCGCGCGCGCGCGCGGAAGACGAGAGCTCGATCCGCTCGGCCGCGCGAACGTGCATCGCCGAACGACGCACACGCACACCCACACACACACCTCTCTCGTCTCCGCAGATCCCCGAGTGCGAGAATGGGCGATGATGGCGAGCCCCTTCCCGACGGTGGCCATATGCCTGATGTACGCCTACTTCAGCAAAGTGCTCGGCCCGAGGATGATGGAGAACAGGAAGCCGTTCAACCTGCGGCGCATCCTCATATTCTACAACTTGACTCAGACCATTTTTTCCACCTGGATATTTTACGAGGTAGGCTTGCTCTTTGCGCGCGCGCGCGCGCTCGTTCTCTCACCTTTGCTCTCGGCTCGTTTCTCAAATTTCAAATATTTGCTGGCGTGCGCGGCTTTTCGTTAATATCACCAAGGCAGAAACGCAGGAATGCGGACGCGCGAGCGTGCGTCCGCAAAGTCGAGTCCGAGACGCGCAAAACTGCCACTTTTTTTTTACTCCAAATAAAAATGGAGTATAGCAGCGAAAGCGTTCGATTCGCTTTGCCATTAGTATTTCGTCTGCACGTTGCTGTACAGTTAAGGCCCCCTGTAGCTCCTCTCCTCCCACCCCACCTCGGCACCGCTGCTTTTTTCATCATCTCGGCTCCCTCCCTCTTGTCCTCACCTCGCTGCACTGTCGATTTAGCGACCTCGCGCGCGCGCGTCACTCCTGTTTCCTCAGTGTTATCCCCCTAATCATCCCCCAACGTTCCACGGATATTTTTATTCCTAGCGAAAAGTCGCAATACCGGTAGGACGTCAACCTGTTTTTCAAAAAGGAAACAAATATGACGGACTCTTGGTCAATTGAATATTTCGCTCGAGCCAGCAAGAAAAAAAAAACGAAAGGAAAAAAAAAAGTTTAGGCTGTTTGCTGAATCAGGTTTCTCGGTGCACACTTTGCAGTTAAATCGAAGCCAAACACACTCGCAGTTGGCTTCATCGAGACTGAAAGCAAAATGAAAAGGAGAAAAAAAAAGAAAGACCCGATTGCACAGTAATGAAGAAAAATGAGACGTAGTTTGCGCGGGTAGAGAGCACAAGTTGCTCAAGGCTTTTAGCGCCTCTATAGGCCGTCCATGCGCGATGGGACGGCGAGCAAACAGAAAGAAATCCATTGAAATGCAAGTTGGCGGATGAGGTGGCCGAGAGCCGGCAATCCTAATGGGAGTTGTCGTGGCGAGAAATCGACATTCGCAGGCCTTTTCGAGCGGCGACAGCTCGCGCAATTGCAGCTGCGAGCAAATGACAATGCTCGGCTCTCTGCAGTCCGCGCGTTGACTCATTATTGCAATGGTGTTCCAGTACTTGATGAGCGGCTGGGCCAGGGGCTATAGCTTCCGGTGTCAACCTGTCGATTACTCCAACAATACCATGGCAATTCGCATGGCTGCCACTTGCTGGTGGTACTACTTCAGCAAATTCACTGAATTCTTCGACACGGTTTGTACTCCTCGTCCTATGTCCGACACTGCCGTCTCCAACTCATCTGACCTTTTGCATCGTACTTACAGCTGTTCTTCATCCTGCGCAAGAAGACCCAGCACGTTTCCACGCTCCACGTAATCCACCACGGCATCATGCCTTTCTCCGTGTGGATGGGCCTCAAGTTTGCCCCGGGTGGTCATTCTACCTTCTTCGCTCTGCTCAATACCTTCGTTCATATCGTCATGTACTTCTACTACATGATTGCGGCGATGGGACCCGAGTACCAAAAGTACATCTGGTGGAAAAAATATCTGACCAGCTTTCAGATGGTGAGTTGATAACATGAGAGAGAGAAAGATAGAGAGGAGTATCATTGTTTTATCAATGATTCGATTTATTTCTTTTTTCTTTTTGTACTTCACAGTTACAGTTCGTTATGATAATGACGCACCAGTTCCAACTGCTGTTCACCGAATGCGATTATCCTCGTAGCTTTATGATTTGGATTGGACTGCACGGCCTGCTATTCCTTGGTCTGTTCTCTGACTTCTATAAGGCCAAGTACTCGTCAACTAAAGGCAAACATAAGTCGAAAAGGCCGGTCAAGTCCGATAATCCAGGAGCCTGTATGCCGGTCCTTGACGACGATCACAAGCCTAGTCAGAATGGCCACGTGGTATCCACCTACGCGACTATTTATAATAAAGAGCTGAACAGCTGTTACAGCAGCGGTACCAATAATGGCTATGTAGACGCCAACCAAACGCAAGCTATCGGTGACAAAAAGCTGGTTTAAATGTTCAACAACCATAACGTCGGTCGCTCATACCAATGCAAAACTTCCTAGGATGCCTTTCTGTTTTCCTGTTTACATTCACATCTACTGTACAATTTTATTTATGTCGCTGTCAAACGCGATTCCTTGTTTCTTTTTTTCTACCTTTTCTTTTTCTCTTTTTTATTTTCTTACTAAACTGAATTCTCTACCATTTCTTAAAGACTTGTCATGGTCATTTTCACCACTTTTGGATATAACATTATTATTATTATTATTATTATTATTATTATTATTATTATTATTATTATTACTATTGTAATACTATTTTCATTATTACTACTTTGATTTTCATTTTCACTATTGTTCTCACTATCAACATAATCATCTCGGCCGTTCTTTACCTGCGGCTTTTTATTTTTGTATACTGTATACTATTGCAGATAAGTTCCGTTGGGTTCCATTCTTTGCGCAATAAAGACCAATACTATGATTGGTTCTTTGGGAAATAGCTCTATTGTGAACGATGTAAAGTTTTGTCATTTTAAGCGCTGCGTTCGATCGTTAATTGCTTGAATGCTAATTAATAAAATGTGTGATTGTGCTATAATCTAACAATAACTCGCAAAAATTATAGCTTAGAAGAAGAAAAAAAAGAAAACTGATTTAATCAGTTTTTTCTATAGCGTAGAATTCAACTTAATGCGTCGATTTGTATGACAACAAGGAGGTTAGGACTAGGGATCTCTATGCTCATTCAAATATGAAGAAATAATTTTTTCTTTATATATTTCTTGTTACTCGCTAAGGAATTTTTACGTAATTAGTTATTAAATTTCAAAATTAGTTAAAATTTTGTCACATTGTTAGTCAGGTCTCTTTGAAACTTAAACAGAATACCGTGATTTGACGTAGCATATATCGAACAACATATAAATTTACTTTTCCATGCTTTTTCATTACAATGCGCGTTATACTTTCCTAGAGAAAGCGTTTATACAATTTTGTCGCGTATTACTTAGTATTCTTTACATGTTGTTGAATTTGTACGCAATAACTATTGAAAAGCGAACCAGATATCGAGTAATAGAACGAGAAAAATTTTCAGCAAGACTGAGCGTATTTCATAGCGAAAAATTATTTCATGAACAGTTTCATGACGGTTGTTTGACTGGAAATTTTTCTCACGTGAAAATTCTCTTGTTATAATATTTATAATAATTTCCGATACCCTTTTAAACTTTTTCGTTTTTTAAATCCTATAAGTTAAGTCAATAAATCAGTTGGAATTGCTGCTGTCGTTGAAAGTGTTCAACTTCTAAGGAAGAAAAAGCATTTTTTTTTACTAAATTTTTATGTTGCAAATCGTATGAAAATGAGATGAGATCTCATGACTCTGCCTTATTTTAAAAACTTCGAAAAAAGAGAAAGAAAAAAAAACAAGAATTACCTCGATTACGTAAAAGTATTTTTTTTTCTTTTTTTTTTTAAACTATTGCGTTGTTGTAAGCGCCGATGACAAGTTTGTTACCGCTAGTTCGTTAAACTAAGAAAAAATTGATTTGATTGGATAAATATAAATTATACAAATAGTTTAGCACAGAATATCGAAAGGTAATTATTGTAATATGGGGATACCATTTATCACGGTAACGCTTGTTATTTATGCTGTAAGTTAGGTATCGAAAATAACTATTTTAAGAGTTCAAACTGTAAAATAATTATCCCAAGATCATAATTGTGTGATAGATGAAACTTTATCACGTATAGAATATTTATTAAATATACTATAAGACATCTGCTAAAATATTATTTTTTTTGAAAATATTAAATTCAATATTAAGTTGTAGTAGTACTTTCATTTTGGAATTCTTTCTAAATCGCAATTAGTTGAGGTTTTATAAAACGTTGTGGTTCATACATCATAGTCAAACTGACCATTCTTCAGATGATACTTTGATGCTTATTTTTAAAAAATAATGCGGAGATGTTATATTTTTTGCGACTAACTTATCGATTACATTTTCCTATTAAAAATAATATTACTATATAATGAATTATCAATTTCTTTGGTATGGATCTGTGAACTACATTTTTATATCCGTTTGCGTTTTGTTTGCTTCGATTGTGAATTGTGATTTTGCACAAAACTATTAGAGAATAAAATCTCAGACAAACGTTTGCGACGTAAATAAGTAAAAAAATATTGTTTTTTGAAATGAAATGTAGTGAACCCTTGAGTCCTGTAATTTATCTTTGTAGAACACATAAATAATGGATCTCTGGATTTGCATTTTCTATCTGATCGCTCTTCATAATTAGAAAGGTGTCGGAGAGTCGACTTGGTTATCAATAAATTTATATTGAAAGTCATAGTAAGATTGTATTTCAGAGATAAAAATTGGAATTAGACTTCGTGTAAATATGTACAATGCTTTTACCTTTTGGTGTATTGTAAAACTTACAAATCACGTTCAACTGAAAAATAATGTTAACTTTGAAAAACTACGACTGTAAAAGCTACGATTCGATTGTAGTATATCATCTGAGATAATATCTGACAAGTGATTACAAAATATTTCAACAATTGCAAATGTATTTTCATGAGCACCATTACGCGACAAAAAAATATTGTGACTGCACTTTTTTTCTCCATTTTCTGATGAACCTCTAAACAACAATATTGAGAAAAATTGTATGCATATAAGTACATTCAAGAAATATGTGTTCATTTTCTGTAATCATCGTGATTAATATTGTAAATTTTCTAAACCAATGTAAAACAAATAATAATATAGGAAACGAAAGAATAATAAAAAAACAACTTGAAGAGTAAAATGATTGTTATTGTATGCACGAGTTTAGAAAATAAATTAATGTAATAGTTAATCGACATGATTCTCTTAATGCCGAATATGTGAATTGTTTATTTTAGCATGTTTCTTATTATTCTTTTGCACAAAACAGCAAATAAAGAAAAGACTCGAATGATGTTTATACTATACTTATTCGACATAGTATGATTATACGTGTGTATGTATATATATATATATATATATATATATATATATATGTATACACACACACACATCTGTTTGAAGGGCTCTTTTATACGAAATGATGGTTCATACCCTTTTTTAATATGATTGATAAGAAAATTCATACTAGTAATAAACGCTTAAATATTTATGAAAAAATTCCATTGCGTATCATTACTTTTCACCTGTTTATATCGCGAACCCTTTATACTTCCTACTCGTTTGCTCATATCTTTTGAATTTCTATTATCAAATACAAACATACGTTTATATCATTGTTATCAATGTGATGTTAAAAAACTAATAATTTGTAGGAGTGGAATCTAGAAAATATTTTGTTAGCCGTTGTTAAATACTGTTTGTTAAATACCGATGCAACAGTTTGCATAGATAAAAATATACGCATGATAAAAATTTTCTGGAAATTTTGGAAGGTAAAAAAGCATTCAGCCTTGATGATTATTCCGTCGTAATGTTTATTGATAGACGCTTTAATATCTGTTATTTTCCAAGCGATCGACATTTAACATATCCTTATTAGCTGATAGTCCGTTTAAGCATCGAATAAAATAATTCGATTGTCCAATTGTTGTGATAAAGCTCGTTTAAAGAAAAACACGTTTGAGCTTGCGTTCATTACTCATGAATTCATTACGCGCTGCTCCGGATTCAAAAACCGTCGGCAGCGAACAATTTAGTATTGAACCATACTATTCATCGTTACAAGCTCTTGTGTACATACGCACCTATACTCTGGATGTAAATAATTAAGGGCCGCGAGGCTTGCATACTATGTTCAACGAAGCAAATGAGTGCACGTAAATGTGCTGTATCGATCCCGCAAGTAAATGAAAATTTCGCGGATTAGGTCGAGGACACGTTAGGGAAAGCGGCGTGTCTCAAGATTTGATTTTGATGCTAATAAATTGATGTAAATCGCGAAAGTTTTTTCGACGCGCGCGCAGGGCAACACCACTTTTTTTTTCTCGACATTTATCGAAATTAAGACAAGCTAATGTTTATTATTTTGGAAGCTACTGAATCGAAAAGTTGTCACCGTCCGAGATCCACTGACAATTGTACGGCTGCGTAAGCACTGAACAAAATAATACAGTTCGCCAATATTTGCAATAAATTTTACGATTGTTCGTATTGTATCAGATGTTGCTACAAGATGAATCGTGAACTTTTTGTAATAGGCGAACCGACTATGTTATGTACATGAATATTGATGTATTTTTTATCGCCTAGTTATACGAATTGGTCACAAAAAGTCGCAATAAAATTAGATAACAGTTGAGCTTCCTAACGATTGTGATGTGGTTTTGCATAAGAGATTACAAAAAATTGATAGTAATCAGTAGAGCAGCAGCGCGATATGTTAAATCCATTGTTGCCGCGTCCACGAGCCAAATTGTGATAGTGCTGCCCTCGGCGAAGACGAATAGTATTAGTGTACGAGTGATCTGGAGAAATAGTGTGAGTGCGCGCTCGCTGCTATATACGTGGGTGCAGGCTGCAGTACCAGTGCGTACATGGATTAGCGAGCGAGCAGAGCGGATGACTATAGACTATAAAGAGAATAGAACGTAATGATCGTCAGTATTTCGGTGGTGACTGGTCGCCGAGCGGTCTATCGCCCTCGTCACCGCGACGTCAATTTTCGCGAAAGAGCTGAGCCTAGAGTTTAGCTCACGCGGACGAGGTGAACCGAATGAGCACTGAACGCGGTTCGTGTCAGCAGCAGCAGCAGCACTATCCGAGCCGTGCTGCTACGCTGCGACAGCTCCTCGCGTGTGGTTTATACGGCAGCAGCTCGCCAATTCTCCTTTCCCGTTGGATTTCGCACTGGCAGAGAGACTCGCGAGCCATGAGCCGGCCTCGTTAGTTCCAAGTCACAAGTCGTAAAGTTGCGGCCTCTTGCATGCTCTCTCTCTCTCTTTCTCTCTCTCTCTCTCTCTCTCTCTCTCTCTCTCTCTCTCTCGCTGCTGCTGCTGCTCGTTCCTGCACACGCTTGAGTATCTCGAGCGCGCGCGCGTAGCCCAGTGTTCATCTCAACTGGCCTGTCTATATTTGAGATAAACATATCAGCATACAAGTTGACAGTGGCATCGGCGGGCTGCTGTACAGTTACGACGACTAGCCATTGTTGTGTAGACATCGAGCAAGTTCGCCAAGTGCGCTGGATACGTCCACGAGACCTATCCACCTATGCCTGGTTCTACGATTCGGCATTTTGAAATCTCGCCTGTTGCCCTCGCAATTGACTTCGGTACTGGAGTGGCTCCTTGGCAACGTGCGACGACAGGCTGCACGAGCACAGGTTTCCGACCAACAGGTAACGAGCGCCAGCTTTCCATTTAACTTTAGTCCGAAATCCGTGCACGCCTCGCTGTCCGCAGTGCAGCTTAGACATAGCAGTGCCAGTGCTCGTGGGCGGTAGTGCTTAAGCGTTTGTGCGTCAACTCGCGGCCGCTCGAGCTTCGTACACGGAGCGGCGTCGTTCGTTTACACCTACCAGACATCGGTAGGCTTGTACGCGTATGGCTCAGCCGGTGTACAGCCGCTCGCAACGCTGTAGCGTCACGCAAGTGGATTATTCCTGTTCGACGGCTCTCCGCGCGATTCACGTGGAGTCAGCTGATTCGGTCGAGCGCGTTTCCATCTCCGGCAGGCCTCGTTCGCGCTCGCCGCGTTTTCGTATTGTGGCTCGCCTGCCTGTCCCGCGCGAGCTGGCTCCGTTGACAGGCGTCGCAGCCAGTCGCGACGCCCACGTGAGATGGTGGCCGCTCGCTCGCGCGACATTATATCGCGGAGCGCCTCGGATTTGATCGGGCGCCGTGAAATCGCCGAGATAGTCGCGAGCCGAGGAAACACACGTGGATGCCCCCGACGCCTGCGCTCTGCCGCTCGAGGCTCGAGTCCGCGCAGCCGCCTGCGTCGCGCTTATTACGTGATGCCTCGTTACGCGCGCCGAACATGCCGCACCTGCGCATGCGACTTGTACGAGCGATTCCACAAAAAAAGTTTCACAATTCGACACCGTTTTATCAAATGTTCGTAGGCTACGCTCTCGGCTTTAGAATTCCGTGGTTCCCCGTGGACGGTTGCCACTCAAAAACGACGTTGGCCCATCTGCCCGCATGCCCGTGATGCTACTTATTTGCCGTTGCAAGTGGAAACATCGGTTGAGAGAGGTAAACGCGATCGTTCATGACTTTCATTGGGCTTTTGACATTCGGTGAGAAACGCGGAGAGACGGAGCTAATCCGAGCTCGAGTTCGGATCCCTTCAGTCGCGAGACCTGTCGAAAGCCGTATTTCGGTTTATTTTCGGTTCGAAAGTCGGAATACGGAATCCGGTGGAGCTTCCGAATCGCACAAATTTATGCAAAACGTATCCATCGGCTCTGGATTCTTTACGCAAGGCTAGAAATCTGTCGAGCATTCCGAACCGACAAATTGGAATTTGAGCGCGGATTAGCGCCATCTTTCCTCGTTTCCGCGTTAAATTCCAAGGAGCCCGCACGTTTCGATTGGTTTTACGATTTACGTGAGCGAAGTCGGGGTGGTGTCGCGAGCGCACACCCTCTCGTTGCGCGAAGCCAGACGCGCACCGAGGACGACGGACGACGGACGACGAGCAGGCGCCCGCAGCGTAACCCCCAAATAAACCGAAAGTGACGCGTACAGGCAGCGACGTGGGATTGCGTAAGTTTCCCCGTGGAATCGTATACGCGCCTATTGAGGATAGTTTAAGCGCTCGGCCACGCACGTGCACGACTATTGCGCTGGCTGACAATCACATTTTGTTACGAGCGTAGTTTGCATCAGGCTACAGTATCCGTCGCAGCGTCAGCCTTATTTAGCGATCCAATTACCTGCGCCGCTCTGCCGCGCTCTCTCCATTATCGCGCGTTCAACGATCACTCTGCGCGCGGCTTGTTTGACTTAACGAGACGCCGGATCCGCAATCCGACCGTCGATTAATTAAATTAAATCCGCCGGCGTTCGCGTTCTTTTTCACGTTTCTACTCGCGCTCTTCGCGATCGCTGCAGCCTCGCGATTTCGCGTCAAGTTAACGGACTTCGAGAACGTCAACCTCTTGAACGACGAGCTCGCGCTTTCGTGAAATTTCGCATTCGCTCTCGATGATACGAGAGAGAAGCGTCGCAGCTCGCGTTTGCCGCTCGGGAAATCGTTCTCTTCCTAAGCCGAGCGCAAGTTTGCGGCTACCGGAACGCCGAACGCACAAAGCGCTAGCTCAGTCGGCCGTATCGCTAGAAATGACACCTGCGCAATTTCTCGCTCGAGTCCGGGACGCGTCGGCTTTAGTTACGCGACTAAAAAAAATCTGACGATATAAAAGCTGATCTTCGCCTTGAATTCAAATTGGCACCTTTCCAGCGAGAAATATCGAAATCGTTACCAATCTCTGTAGCTACCTTGCGTATTCTTTCTACGCGATTACCTGCTAATGGAGGGGCCATGCCTTATTTCTATATTAACGATCACAGCCGGAACACTGATACTCCAAGGCTTAACTTTCGAGTCTCGCTTTGCCTCGTCTCAAGTGAAATCGAGATCATCTACTCACTTTGGCTATTCCTTTAATTATTCATGCATATTTATAGTGGAAACGGTTCAACAAACTACTCTCAATGAAAGCCCGTTAAATAATCGTCTTTCAGTTTACCTATTCTTATGCTTCGGATGATTGGGTGCGTGCGATTCAAGGACTCGAGTGGCATTCTACACTAATTGGCTTACACTAATTTACTTTTTGACGTGTCACATGTGCACGATATTTAAAAATTCATTCTGCCGGGGAAATAGTCGTTTTCTCAAGAAGGCAATCAGGGGAACCTTCCAAATAGGCGTATAATTGAAGTGACATTGATAAGCCCAAATTTATCAAGCTGGCATTTCGTCAATAATATCCGAGGTTTTTATTTGAAATCTAGGAAATTGGATGCATTCGCATAAATCTTCAACGTGTAACAGCAATGACGAACGAACTTTTTTTTCCGAACGTCTCGAACATCTCTGTCGCTATAAATTACCAGTGAAATTAATAAAACAAGAAAAAAACAGAGAGAAGCTTCCGGACCTTTATCCTTCCTGTTTTTGACGATTGAAGAAAACTGATATTATCCTATTCGACATAATACTTCTGAATCATGACGAATTGCGATTCGTTATGAGGTACCACTAAATGTTATTCAGCTCTGAGGCGAAAGACGAGAAAATTCGTAATATGATCAAACTGACATCAGCGCTGATTGGGCGGCCGTAGAAATATTCCACATGACATTTTTCGACATTGTTAATGCAATTCCCAAAAAGAGCGAGCGACGCCGTGACGCAAGAGAAAGGAGCACGGAGATAAGAATGCGAAATTGTCGTGGAATCCGCCTCGTCCCGCTTCATTTTTACGCCAAACTAAAAACAAAATTTCTGGTTTGCCAAATGTTTCTGACGCGCGGCTCGGTACTTCGCACGCATTTTCGTGGCGTTGACGTTCCCGCGATCGCAACGCGAACGTTCGCTTCTGCGATGAGTTTCGAATCGACGCGGTTGCTCGCGTTCGAATGTGGAAAAAAAATGGATCTGAAGTCGAGATTGGCGCGGTACCGCAGTCTCGAAATTCGGAACGCGCTATCCCTAACAGATCGCCGATGCGGGGAATAAAAAAAAAATCATCGCCTTTACAAATCAAGTTTGAAGACGCACTCGAGCGTACACGTACGAGCGTAAAGAAAGAGCTTCGAAAAGTTGGTCCGTCTATTGGCATATCCTATCTCTGCGGGCAATTAAACGGTAGTTTTCAATTCCCGAACGTTCCTCTCTTCTCGCTAACAACGCAATCGTGAAAAGTTTACCCATCCAAGTTGGTTTGCTTATCGGCCACCGGACCATCAGGAAGTTTATAAAGAGTATTGCGTTCTTATGTTCGCGAGCAATTAACATATCGTTTATTCTTGGTAAAAGAAGATTAGAAATCAGCGAAGCCCAAGAGGCCGATGCGAGCGTCGGACGACGAGAATCTGCATCCGAACGCGAGTCGCGACGCTCGAGACAAAACGATTGTCTAGAACAGTCGAACGTCACCTTTCCCAGAGCAGACCAATTTATTCACGATTCAGTTATAATATTTGATTTTCAGCCAATCACAACGAAAACAAAAAAAAAAAAGAAAGGAAAGAAACGCTTTACACGTCGCGAGTCAAAGGTCTTCTACGTCAGAGAGACTCGGCGGATTCCGTACACTCGACAGTTACATAGATCCGCAGATGAATAACAAATTTAACGATCACTGCTTAACGACATTAGACTTTAAAATCATCGAGACGGAGGAGAGGTCAAGACGACAAGTGATGGAAAATTTATGGATTGACACCGGCCGCGCGCCGAACATCTCTATGAAATTTAATGCCTCGACGTGCTGTGCAGTATTTTTGAGAGGGAGAGAGAGAGAGAAATTAAATAAATAAGAGAATGGGAAACGCAACAGAAACTCAACGACATCTCGGTCCAATCGTTCGGCAGCGCACCGCGCGATCACCGCCGCGTGTCATCCCGCCGGAGGTGCGACCGAGAGGTGGAGATCGCGGCACGGTCGTCCTGCGACGGCGAAGGTGCCGCGAGCGAGCGAAACGGGGCGGGGGAGGGGCCCGGGGGCCAGCAAGTGCTCGCGGAGTCGGGAGGGGACGGCCGGAGAGCGAGCGAGACAGAGAGAGAGAGAGAGAGAGAGCGCGACTAACGTAGGAGGTGCCGGGTCTCGCGGACTGTCAACATGGCGCGTCGGTTAAAAGCAAGGCTTTGCGCGCGTCGCACGGCCAGTTGTCGCGAGAAGAGCCGCGAGAGAGGAAGACAGCCACGGCGGCGTTTAAATCCCCTTGCGCGCACACACAGCCGCACGAGCGTCGCGCATCACGCCTGCCGCCGAATGTGTGTCACGAGTGTGCCTTGAGTGTGGGAACGCGCACGGAAGCAAAACAATTGCGACAGGCGAGCTCGCGGCCAAGGCCGACGCCGCCCGCACGGGAGCAGCGGAGCTTGCCGCAGCGGAGACGCGGCCCGCGGCCACGTCGCGCGCCACGCCAGGTGAGCCCCACCGTCGACGAGCCGACGCTCCGGGCCCGGGATCGCGCAATCGGCCGCGCGCACGCAACCTCAAGGTCCAGCGCCTCGCGGCTACTTGGTATTCGCCGCCCGTGGCGGACTCGCTCGCGCACATACTTATCGCCGCGGCGCCGTCGTCGTCGCCGTAACCGCGGCAAGCTGCGCGCTCCTCCTCTCTCCGTCCCCCCGGTCCCCGCGAGGTCGCGCGCTTCC